AGAAAATTCATATCGAACAATGAGAAAAGTGCAACTTTGGATTGGAGGAAATTAAATGTCTATAAGAATAGTGAAGTTATGCATGTTAATTGGGTTTGAGTAAAATGTCTATAAGTAGGAGTCTAAAGTTTATATATGTGTTGCAATTGTATTTCACTACAATTGTGTTAATCTATATATGTTTGAGAGGAAGTATGTTTTCACATGTCAGCTCGTTTGAAATCTTCAGGTCCGGTCTGTCTGGTCTGATCTGTTTAGTCTGATGTAGACTGATTTCATATGAACTGGTCTAGTATACGTTTGTTCAATGTGTACTTTGCGTCTTTTGAATTCTGACCTGGTTTGATCTAACAATAGTTGTAGTAGCACTTAAAAAAACAAATACTTTTTAAAATGTTTAAATATGTTTTTATCTTTATATATTCTATATTGATATCATATGGAAGTTAATAAAAAGTTATGTTTTTCAGATATATTTTTTTTGACAGTCAGTGTACAAATAAAAAAGTTATATAAATTTAAACAAATAGGTGTTTTTGAGTGTTAAATTATTTTTTATTTTTGTATATTCAATATTGTTGTCATTTAAGAAATAATAAAAGTTATGAAATTTGATATAATTTTCGTAATAATCAGAATATAAGTGAAAAAGTTATGGCTCTTTAAAAAAATATGAGATTTTATTTTGGTGAGACCTTAAACAATTAGAGTTGTAAGTAGCATTAGTACAATTCCTATACGAAATACTACTACTATCTTACAAAGCATTACTTGTGAGATTTTTTTTAATGCGGAGTAGTTATTTTATGTTCATTGTGTTTGAGTAAGATTTCTATAATTAGGAGTCTAAAATTTATATATCTAGTGAAATTGTATTTGACTACAATTGTGTTAATCTATGTTTGAGAGAAAGTATGTTTTCACATGTTAGTTCGTTTGAAATCAATTAAAAAAGACAAAAAGTTTGACTTTACTGTTTAGACATTGTTTGACACATGTTAGGAGTCTAACGTTTTAATATATTTGACCTACACACATATTTAGGAAATAAATTTGACTTTACTGTTTAGACACTGTTTGTTACTGTTTAGACACTGTTTGGCACTGTTTGACACTGTTTTGATGTATGCTAATTTCCATTTAGGGAAATGAGAAGATGATTTTGGGACGGCCCAAAAAGGAAAGCAGGAAGTTAATAGCGGGACGGGGGAGTAGGTGTTTTTGAGTGTTAAATTATTTTTTATTTTTATATATTCAATATTGATGTCATTTGAAAGATAATAAAAAGTTATGAAATTTGATATAATTTTCGTAATAATCAGAATATAAATGAAAAAGTTATTACACTTTAAAAAAAATATGAAATTTTATTTTGTATGGAGCTTTAATACCATTCCTATGTGAAACGAAATACAACTACTATTGTACGAAGCATGCATTACTTGGAAAGTAATTTTAATACAATAATTGTGGAATTGACATATGACAACATTTTCCTTAATTGTAACCTTCAAATGTATTATTTATAGATTAGTGTACGAATACTCCTCCCTCTAATTGTATTTTACCAACTTTCATTTATTAAATAAATGTGAAGGTTCGGTGATAATTGAACTATATATTAAATATGGTGATGTAGTTTGTGAGAAATATGTAGTTGATTAATTACATGTAACATAAACCTTTTCAAATGAAAATAATTAAAAACTAAAAAATCAAGACAAACCAATTATTGCAATTAGATTAAACATATACTCATCGAGATTTTAAAATTTTCGAACATAACTCATGAATACAATAAACAACACAAATATCAAGTAAATGTGGATAGACTCAATAAAATTCAAAGTTAAAAATGCAGAAAGTTGAAAACTTGAAAATGATATACGAATATAAAAAAACAATCTTTCATCACAAATAGACAATATATCACAAATATAGCCAATATAGCCTTTTATGTAATGTGCATATCATATTCATATTAATAGTCCGATCCATGTATGTTATTCCTCAAAATAATATGTTATTCCTCAAAAGGGAGAAAGACCAAAAATGACACTAAGATTTTTAGGTAATCTTCTAGGCAGGGCGATCGACCTCCATTGTTCCCAACTTTAATCGGATGGGTAGATAACGACGGGGAAGGATTAGCGTTGAAGGGTGGTCAAAATGGACCCAAAAACTATAATTTTGTGTTTATTTGGTCTACTTAAAACTTTAGTGCCTAATCCGAGATTTGCTAAAAACCTTAGTGTCATTTTTTGTCTTTCTCCCTAGCCCCTTCCTGAAAATACTACCCTTTGGAGCTATGTAAGAGTTCATAATATAGAGATTAGATATCTACTACACATCCTAAAATCCTAAAATTAATAAGATTCGTTATCACCATTCAATTTCAAAGATATGAGAATGTAAAATCCTAAAATTAAAAGTCTCGAAGTTTTTAACGTAATATTTTGAAGATAAGACTATGCTGAAACCTGTGAATGTTACGTTGCACTTCACTTTATCTCAAGATCACAACCCAAACTGTTTGCACAAAGTATCCATAAGAAATAAGAATCGCTAAAAATGTATACGCCCACAATCCCACTAAACCACATATTCCCTACTATTCTCACTGATCAAATTTTCTTCTCTTGTGAGGTGTCAAGTGTTTACCAATTAATCGGTGACATTAAACCTTTAGCATTTGAGGGGATGGGGCAACATGCTTCCATGTTTTTAAGCATAAAATATGTGGAGGGCTTAGCAAAATGAATACTCAAGAGTAATGAGATGTTAACAATAAAGGGTAAGAGTAATAAAAGTTAGGGTATAAAATTATTTTGATTAGACAAACTAACTAAATGAGGAAAGAGAGACAAGTAATAAAAACATCCCAATAGAAAATACGAGACAATTATTAGAAAACGGAGGAAGTATAATTCAATTAAATGCATATTATTGTTGCATTTTATTTAACTACAACAATGTCGTTTTATTTATACTTCGTTGTAAACAGAGTAATTTAACTTGGACCCCCTCATCAGGAAAGTGTTAAATTTGATTGAGCCAATTCAAGTTATTCTTCATTTTTGTATTAAAACTTTGTTTTTGACAGATTTTTTTATAAAAACTATATCACTTAAATACATAAGATAGATTTAATTATATTAACAGATAAGTACTTAACATGTAAGTGTATTTATTACAATTAGCTCACCGAAAAAAAAGTATACATGGATGAAACGATTCAAACATAGATAAAAATAAACAGTATCTCAAATTAGCGAATTTTCTACATAATAATAATTGTGAAAAAAGAGACGGTGGTTGTAACTGCGACAAAAAATGTCAGGAATTTTTTGAAATAGGAGTAAAAATATTTTGAAATTTCAAAATAAGTCTATCATATTTTTTCTCTAAATAAGATTAATTATTGTCAAGTTTGAAAAATATTGTCATGACTAAAGTATGATACTCTCAAAACATGACAATAATTACTCGTATTGAAGAGAAAAAATATGACAATCCTATTTTGAAATTAAACATTTACACGTATTTAGACTTCTCAAAAAGGTCCGTGTGAATCTGGAACTTAAAGCCCAGCAAGACGATGCATATGAGTACGAAGTAGACAACTGTGTGCAAAATGATGGAGAGGGGGCTCGTCTCGAAAAGGCCGAAGCCCCCGCGAAGCCATCGTTTGTCACCCCCCACCTGGAAAAAAACTCCCGGCGACAAAACAATGAACAGAGCCGTCGCCGCAACCACCGGACCCCAATCCAACATTTCCGCTGTACGAAGGCGGCTCGACTACGCCGGCCGATCCTCTTTCGCTGGTTCGACTGCAACGCACACCAGGTTCTCGCTCAAATGCTTGAGCCGTAATTGGACTACAGAGTGAAATATGTATAAGATGATCAAGGGAAATGGGATCGAATGAGTGAGGACACTTCTCTGTTTTCTGAATTTATTGTGCGCTTCCTTAAATTCACAGTCGTAGCGCAGATATTTGGATTTCTATCATTCTATGGGGTCCAATGGTTCATTTTTCTTCGTCTTTATATTCCGTGTTTGTAGTGTTGCTTACTTTTTTTTACCCAAGCAAAAGTAGTCAAAGAAAAAATAATTCATCCAAAGGCTCCAAACATGCAATCATCAAGATTCATCAAGGGGTTGAATTAGATTATTCTTTTTGTGTTGAGCTGTATTCCTTACAATTCTTACTAGACATACTAGTCATAGGATAGGGGCTCTACAATATGCAATCATCATAGATCAATAGATGGTCTCACATGTTATTGAAAGCCAAAAAACCTGCATGGGCAGGTTAAACGGTGAAAAAGTTGGAAAAATGAACAAGGATCAAAACTCGCAGCAGCCGTGTGAAGGTTACAGATTTTGAGTGTTGGGCCGAACCTCTGACACACAAGGGTACAAGGTCAACTGAATCATCTTGATTGACATCCTACCAAAAATTTATTGGGTCGGGACATGGGGGCCTTGGGGTTGGGATTCAACCTCGGAAGAATTGAAAGCCAAAAAGAAATGGAAAAGGGAAAAAGAAAATATGGATGACCATTGTCCATTGTCAGACTGTTGGGACAGGACAGCCGTGCACATTTTCACCTTGGAGATTTTCACCTTGGAGAGTGTTGTGATGTAATATCATCCCTAATTTAAAAAATTCTTTTTTTAAATATTTATAACTTTTTTATAAATATGACACTTGTATAGCATATATAAAATTAAAAAAAAACTGTAGTTTTTTTGCTGAAAATTTTTAGACCAAAAAGACACAACACAAATTTTAATCAATGGTACTCCACAAATAGCCAGCCGAATTTTACATAAACTCGTTTTATTTTTTATTAACCGAAAAAGTTAAATAAACTAATGAAATTTTTATTTTTTAACATCAAAGTGTATTTTTTAATTTCATAACTATTCAAAAAAATTAAAGAAAAACATTACTTATAATAATTTAATTAATGCTTTACCAAACAAATATGTAAAAAAAAAAAATATGCCAAGTGCATTTCATTGACTATGCTAAGTGATATACAAATAGCAATGTCCCATAAAAAATGGGGCCAAACCAAGTTAAAATAAGTGAAACAATTTGAATTAAAATACAAGCGGAGGATACGTTATCAATTTGAATTAAAATAAAAGTGGAGGATACGTTACCGAAACAATAAGATAATAAGCAGGTTGTTTTCCGCATAACGATGACACTGTTCCTGTAAATTACTACTACAAAATTAGCAATTCATTCCCGGTAAACAACAAAATTGGCAATTTCATGAAGCCCAGCCTCCTTGTAACATTTAGCAATCTGCTCGAGCCAATCATCCCAATTCCCATCCACGGAAGCTAAATCCAGCACGAATGCAGCTTCATCCAGTGCAATCTAAAATTGTTTTGTGTGTATAGATACACAATTTGGATCATTCAAAAAGATGTTTTCATTTCAGAAATAAGAATGAAAGTAGAGCATTAGATTTGAAATCTAACAACTCTAAAAGTGCCAAAAATGGTGAAAAAATGGAGAAACTCAGTGGCATTTTGTAGTCAAGTGATTTTCTTTTCCACTGCAATCAAAGTGATTCGAAAATGAAAATTTTGCATTTCTTAAAAAAAGCTCTCTTAAGTGACCCACACAACACACAATAAAGAAACAAGATGATTGTACTCCCTTGTGAAATTTATAATAGGAAGTCAAGCCAAGTGAACTTTCGTAAGACGTCAAAGTTTGATTCCGAGTGGAAACAAACTACGCACACTTTCAGAAGAACCCTTGGTGATCCTCTTATCTTTATATCAACTTTCACAAAATGTTTATGTAACCTAACTATGGCATCTTGTAAGAACCCCCCATGTTTGAAGTTCAACCTTAAAAAATTCAGATGTGTGATAAGAAGTATTGGAGTGATTTTTATTGCTCCCTTACCTTACATATTCTCTTTATTTAAAATTTGTAACCCCGCTTCTGATTTTTAGAGTTCAACCCCCCCCCTCCCCCCCCCCCCCCCAAATTCCTAATCCATACATACCACAATGGGTTAGACCTTCTCTTTCTCAAGTAAAAATGAAAGTAGCAAAAGAAAAAACTATTGGAGAGCTTATCAACCTGAGCAGCATCTTTTCCTTTCTTCAGATCTTGCTCTCTACCCTCTTCAGTCACTCTCTCTTTGATATATTCAATTTGTTCATCTTCCCATTCAGCCATATTTGCCACTTTCTACATAGAAATTTAAACCAATAAGTGGGAGAGGCATCAAAATTCAGAGCATGCAACATGTTGAAAAGATTAATATTGTCAGAAACCTCATATTCACACCCCAACGTCCACCATGGTAATTTTAAAGCACCCCTAGCAGCGTCTTTTGCTTCCACACTACGGCCAACCCTACACATGAAACAGAGGAATTCATATACTGATGTACTACAATTATAAAAACTGTTAATAAAAAAAACTTTAGCCAAAGCAGTGCTGAGATGTACTGACTTTAACAAAATCTCTGCATTAAAAACAAAAGGCCTGCCGAACCCAGGAAAATGCTCTTTCCTTGTATAGAACTCACCAGTCACCAGAGCTGAAATCTTCAATCACATGCATCACCAACGATGTCATAATCAAATCTTTATTGCACGGTAAGTGTGAACTATTATTTTCTTACATTATCCCCCTTATCAAAATGCTGCTTAATTTTGCGCTCTATTACATCCGGAAATAACCCAACCTATAAAACATGTTATTTTAAAATCAGAATGTGCTGGAGACATAAAAGAGGCAGTGTGAAATCATAGTGTTCAACTGCACCTTCTTCCAAAGGTAGATATCTATGCTTGGAATTTGAGATGCAGCGAAATCACCCCTTTGATAAAGTTTCTCTCCGGCACCAGCAGAAGCGTGAAAAAAGGCATCACTGTTATCATGAGAACTTGCATCTTCTTCCACCAAGATTCTGTGAATATATTGATCTACCTGTCCTTGGATGAAACATCAAGTAAAAGTGTGCTTCAATCCTTGCAGAAAAAACCCTTCATGTAAAGTCTTGTTGGCATATTGTGTATTTGAATTGTCTTACATTCTTAGCTAAAAGCCAAACCCCATACTTCGAAACCTCCACCACTGGCATCTCCATCCTGTGAACATTGGAATAATAAAAGAGAAGATAATTTTACACTTTAGCTCTGCATCTGTAGATCATTCCCATTTTTAGCCTTGTACGTTCACTTTTCTCACTTTTAGTGCAAGAAAATTTAATTCTCGACATTGTTGTCCTTCCAGTCACAAATCTGACGAGACTAACCCAGAAATTAGCCGACAAAGTGATATGGAAGGACAAAAGTTGCAAGGCATCTATAACTTTGCACCAAAAGTGGAAAATATGAAAACATTTGACCAAATGTGAGAACGACCTAAAATGTGGGACCATAAGTGGAAAAGATCTATAAAAGCGAGAAAACATAGCAACAACTACATAAGTTTTCATCGGTTTGGTGCATTATATTACCCAGGTGGAGCAGTAGGCCATCGCAGTAATGCTGTTACAGCACCTGAAGGAAACAAAAATGATTACCATAAATATGAATACCAAAGGATCAGTTTTTGGAAGGTGGGTGTACCAAACCTGAGCTCTGTTTGGATAGAGGAATAACTAGAGGAAGCAATCCTTTCTTACTACCAGGAGAAACTAACTGCTCGCCTGTTAATCAGGCATTACATTGGTGAGAATATTGGCGAAGTACATGAATGGCTGATCTAAAAGGTACTAAGCAGTGTCCTATTGCATAACCGAATGAAATAGCTAAGTTCTTGGCAGCTGTCTCACCTCGCATTTGAAGCATCTTCAGCAGACCATTCAAATTGTTTGGAGGTTGAGTTGCCGCTACATCTTTGATGAAAGATACATGATCTGCATTCCAGCTCAAAAAGAAATTAATTCAGCATCTAAATGTCACAATAGCATTGTTACAGCTAAAGTAGAACACATATACATGGATTTGTTATTTCTTTTTCCACAGAAGACCATACTTTCCTAATTTACTTAGTTAACCAATTCAGTACACGAGTCAAGAAATTAGTCTGAGGTAAAAAGCAATTGACTGAGCTAGGCCACTGGCCACCAAACAACCACTTAATGTTTGTGAAAATCAAGATACTGATCATTTTATATATTCATATGAGCTAGCCAGTCATCTCGAGTCAGGCCAACGATTTACTTATCTATGTCCACCTAATTATGATGACCCAATTAATAAGCTCCAATGAGTTATAGTCTCTATGGGCATATTTACTTCATCTGAACAGGCAGTTAGGGTGTTCCAAAACAGGTGGAGTAGAAACAGCGAAATTGTAGATGGAAATGTGTACACAATACGCTACCCACATTAAGTATTTTACTATTTGGTAGACGAATGAAGTAATGAACTCCTATGAATTACTCACTAGGCATTTTTTTCGTTTTCTATACAGCATATACACGATATTGCCACTCATTTTATACCTGCAATTCTGCAAAATATGTCAGTTCACATTTTCACCTTTGCCCCTAAATCTCATTATCCTCTTTAATCCCCCTCCAGTTTCCAGTCACAGGGGAAACTGGGGTTCTCGTGGTCATCCCATCACTAATGGCCATCACCTCAGTCCAATAATAAGAAGCTCAAATATCACACTCCCTAACTAAGGCGCACTTTGATTCTTGGAAAGTAACATATGGTAGTAATGTAGTATTAGTAAGATGGTATGAATGTGCAAACATGCTACTGAAGACTTAATAAATATTGATCCGTAACAGGAATATTAAAAAGTCATAAGTATAGCAAGATTAACACGAAAAGTATTTTGATTTGAGTGTTTAGACAGATGTTTAATAACATGTCAATTCGAAAGTGTTTGAACATTACAGCTTGTTTGGTTGGCTTTCTTTATTTTTGCTTATCAGAATATCAATCTTATTAATAAGAGTACGTACACAGTTATTTGAGTGTGGTTGATTATTCATTGATGAAGAAAGAAGTAAAGCAGAAAGTAACCTGTTTTCATTAAGTTGTTGCAATGGAGGGATTTAGATTTCTACTCTAATTTAAAAAATTGATTTCTTCAATTTACTTGAACAATGTAATTTAAATTATCTTTTCAAAACTTTAGCATTTCCAATGAATTCAGCTACATCAGATCTCAGCCTCAATTTCAGCAAGTCAACACCTTTAGGCTTTAGTCATAACAAGTAAATTTACACATACTGAAGGAGCTGTTAATTTTCGAAAATGCATCTTGAGAATAATGGTTGAAAACGAAAACGGAATGCTTAGTAATACACAAAACCCAAACCAATTAGATATAATTTATTAAGTAATATTGCAGCTTCTTTATTTAGCGTTTAGGAATGCTTTGATAATTTAGCTTTATCATGATGCTTCAAAACTCTTTCAAATACTTAGCCCCCATCTGGGATTGGGGTTACGGCTGGAAAGCTCCTTTTAGCCCAATGGCTATCCCAAACATTTTATGGTTTTGTCCAAAAGCTTATTTCAATGGCCAAAAGTAGCAATGATGACTGTTGTTTTTCAGAGGTTAGTTCCTTGTGACTTTTCTGTTGCCATAATTGCATACAAGGTTAAAATATACTTTTTAGAAATTTAAGTTTATATTGGGGAAATACAAGTATACAACCCGACCTTAAGTATCACAAACTCGTAAGACTCTGACACACTCACTCACACACTCATAACACAAAGACTCATGTGATAATATGAATTTGTAATATGCAACAAAATGTACAAGAGAGATTTTACATGAATATGAGAAGTTTATTTCACTATTTGTAAATGCCTAAATGGGACTAGTAGACTGCCTCACTAACACCCCCAAGTACTCATTCTTTAGTTCTTTCCCCTCACAAGAATGCTCTCACTCTACTCTCTCAAAGAGGCTCACTATTCAAAAAAGCTTTCACTCTCACTCTTGTAAGAACCCTCCTTAGGAATGAGGAGTTTCACCCCTAATTATTCTAATCTTTATAGTATTCTATAATACTACTACACTTCTAGAGTTCTAAGTTTTCACAACTTCTATAATCTTCTGGCCTCCATACTTCTTTAAATGCTTTAGACGCTTCCACAAAGTCTAGAGTATTCTACACTCCTATCGAGAGCTCCGAGGGTTTTAGAATATTCTATACTTTTCTACATGCTTCTGGAAAATTCTTCACTTCGTTGGAAAGCTCCATAAAATTCTACAATACACAATACTCTGCATACATCTACAAAATTATCAACATTTCTAAAGTAATCTAGAGTTCTCTTAAAACTTCTCATTTAAGAGGCACCTCAACAAAGTTTAGCATAGTACTGTTTAAACACAAAACCAAACAATTATAACTCCTAAGATCACTTCATTACAGTAATTTTCAAAATACTTTTCAAAAGTAATTTTATAATGTGATAATTTTTTTCCCGATTTTAATCTCAGACCAGCACTTAGGCCTTCATATGAGTTACTTTACTTGAAATGACATTTTTTTAGACATATGGTCATAGAAGATTAGCCAAGAACCCTAAAATGTAGATCATTTCATTGTTACAAGCAAGAAGTTTGGAATGCCTTTGTACACACGAAAATTTAGAGCCATTTTTAGGAGGTTCAATAGGTTGTACTGAACAGGGTCTTCCGATTTATGGGGCCCAAACTTCAAAAAAAAAATACTCCCTCCGTCCCAATATAAAAGGCACATTTGCGTTTGGAGAGTTTTTAAGGGTGAACACTGTTTGAACACTGTTTGGCACTGTTTAGACACTGTTTGGCACTGTTTGGACACTGTTTGGCACTGTTTTGTTTGCCAAAATGGGAAATGTGCCTTTTATATTGGGACGGACCGAAAAGGAAAGTGTGTCTTTTATATTGGGACGGAGGGAGTATTAGTATTATATAATAATATTATACGTAGTATATTAATACTAATAAGTAAAATACAGTTAGTCAGGAAGAAAAATACAATAATATCATTTTCTCCGTCGGTCCTTTTACTCATCTTTTACTCAAATTGATTGAGTAATAAGTTGTGTTGCTTTAAATCAAGTTTTAAGTAACTTTTAGAATTTTTTATTACATTATTTAAAGAGTATTCAATTGATTTGGGTAAGTATTTAGATTGATTTTTGTTGTTGTAATTTTTATATTAATGTAGGTCACTATTTTATATTTGGAACCCGGGTCTTTAAATTCATTAGACAGCTCTATGAAAATACACAGCTTGATGCATACATTAGAACTGAAAAGGAAATGAACTAAAACTACCATACTGTTATATAACAGAAACTGAGAAATTCTCCGTACCGGTAGCGTAGCATCTGAATTCAGTTTTGAAGCGGCAAAAAGGAGTGCTGGGAATGATGGCGGCGGGTAAAAGGCCGGGAAGTGTTCCGCCGCACATCTTCATCGGACGACAAATTGCTTTGATATTGTAATTGCAGTAGAGTCGCACTGTCGCATATAAGATAAGGGGGGGATTTTGTTTGGTTTGTATAGGGTGTTTGGATTTGATTCTTAAAACTGCTTCTATTTTTTAAGTCAGAGAGTAGAAACAAAAGTTAGAGTGTTTGGTTAAAACTGCCGAAGTGCTTCCGGGACTCTAATTTACTCATAGAGTAAATTTTTACACGGAGTAGTTTTTTTTAACTAATGAAATTATGGAGGTAATTTGAGTTTGCACCCATATTATTGTCCAAATGGGACTTTGCACTTCATTTTAAAAAGTTTTTGTTTTTGCGCCCCAACCCTGTATGAAAAGACAAAAACGTCCCTCCATTAACAATTTTGTTAGCTTCAATATATTCTTGATCAAGGGACATTTTTGTCTTTAACGTGAGATTGGGTGCAAAAACAAAAATTTTTAAAAATGTGGTGTAAAGTCCAATTTGAACAATAAAATAGGGCGCAAACTCAAATTAACCCAAATTATACCTGATGAGAAACGATTCACTCCTCCCAATCAACTTTCCAACCTTGTATTACCCTTAGGAATAAGGTACAAATAGGGTGTGGGAATTCTTGCTTAAGCATTCTCGGATATTTTCAGGGAGAAGTGGTCAAACGGCTGAGATTAGGTAAAACCAGAGAGGGATTCTCACGAGAAAAGGAATGAATGGAACAGAGCAGATGGAGAATAATAGCGGATTGAAGGAGTGTTTAGGGTAGATTAAAAAAAGTGCTTTTCAACTTTTGGCTTAAAAAAAGTTGAAAAGAGTGTTTTCAAATGATAGTTTCTGCTTAAATTAATCACTTAAAAGCTAAAAGCTGGAAGCAGGTAAAAGAGTGCTTTAAACTGCTTCTCACTTTTTCTATTACACAAAAAGTACTTATTTTATCAAACACTACCAACTTTTACTTTTTCAGAATCACTTTTTTCTCAAACACTACCAACTTTTACTATTAATCACTTTTCCCAAAATCACTTTAAAAAATCACTTTTTTAAAGTTGAAGCAATCACAAACACTCCCTGAATATATGGCGATTAGGGGCGGAAGTAAAAACTACATACCTCAATCCGCAGAAGACAGAGCTGCACGTTTCACTTCAGCCCTTCAAACAAACAGCATATTTTTTTAAAAAATGACTGAATTTAATAAATTCCAGCCCTTTTTTAGCTTAAGTGGCATGTCGAACACAACCTAAGAATCTAGTCTCCCTCAACTTCTAAAAAAACTGATTTTATGAGTAAATTAGAACACTATAATCACTTCTGCACTTTCACTCAAACACTTCAACTTCTACTTCTGCTCCCTAAAAGAGAAGAATCAGTTTTAAGAATCAGATCCAAACACCCCCAAACTACACCAAATTGTATGAGGTGGAGTAAAGAGTACATTATATTTCATTAGATTTTTTAAGTACACAAATTCATATTTTTAGTGTTAATTGAGTACACCCGTTAGATTAACACTTTAATACAACTGTGCTGGCTAACGGAATTTTGAGTAAGAAGGGGTAATGGATCAATGTTATGGCGCCGATCTTCACGAAGTCGACCAAAAAAGAAAAATCGACCTTCAGAGGTAGACCTGCAGGGGCATCACCTAGCAGGGGTGCATCGACTAAAGAGAAGTCGACATGCGCGGATTGACGTCGACCAAGGAGAAGTTGATGGAGTGGTTCGGGGTGGCTTGACCTTCAAGAAGTCAACCTATTAGTGTTTTGTTAGCCAACTCAACCGTATTAACGTGTTAACTTAATGGACGTACTCAATTAACACTAAAACTCCGAATTTGTGTGCTTAAAAAAATCAAATGCAATATCGTCGGCTCTTTACTCCATCTCATACAAGTTGATGTACTCAATTGACCCTTACCTCGTTTGTATAGTATTTGATTAGTTCGGTTCTGGTTCGATTTCAGTTCAGTTCTACTTTCTAGTCACAAACCGAACTTTTTATACATTACACGAGTAATCTTTATTTGATGTGCTTTTGGGTGGAGTCTTTAGATGAAATTTGTGAACTTGTTTTTCATGAAATACTACGGCGAAGCATATATTATGTCCACCAAACTTGAGCTTAAAATTCAATTGGGAAGTCATTTAAATAAATTATTGAAAAATACTATGCCAATATATATATATATTTATATAAACGCAATGTTTTTCAATATTTGTTTGACACACTTCATGATTGAATTTTGAGTTGAAATTCGATGGATATAATCTACATTTCATGTAAAACATGCGCACAAAATCTCATAAAAAAATCTACCGGAAAACACCTCAAATAGTGGCCAGACGGCGTTCCGGACAGAAAATTGTTGTCGTGAATATTTATATTGCATAATATACCTTATATATTCTGGACTAGGCCAATTTGAGTAGTTGTTATTTTATTACTTTAGTCCACTTTCATATGTATTGCTTGTTTGTAATTGTATTTGTTATTTAAGTTCACCTAAAAAGGAATTCATATTTTGTTGATTACGTTGTTATGTGTTCATAGTAAATTACTAATCAATTTATTACTACGTACTGTTTACTTATGGTGCGTTACTAGTAGAAGAATATTATTTTGGGGGTTGAACTACCTTCTTATTGGATGTATACCTTGGAGCTATTAAACCTTTTTGCTTGACAATCGATGCTTATTTTAATTTTTTATGCTTTTGTTATGTTTAAATTTAATGTTTGCACTTGGATATTTTTGTAATATTTAAATATTGGGATATCGTGTATGCAGAATGTATTCATTTTAGAAGGATAATAATTTTTTATAAGGAACCAAAAAAAGTAACAACCGAACTGAATTTAACTAGAACTTTACTGAATTTAACAGCTATTTTTAACTAGAATCAAACTGAATTTAACGCCTACAATTTTTAATACGGTTCTATAGAATTTTAACAATAACTGAATTGATCATAGGCCCATAAAAGTTCTTTGTACACATAAGTTGTACACATTTCTTGCATGTAAGCACTCCCCATAGTTGCCTGTGTCAGGCATGTCGTTAGAAGTTGTTGTGTACCCGGGCAATTAGAGTGTGTGTAAGAAATGTGTACAACTCATGTGCACAAGTAGCACCACCTTTTGTCAAAATATTAATAAAAAGGGACAATTCTAAAAAAAATGCCAAAACAGCAGTGAAATTTAAAATTTGAGGGATTTTCTAAAATATTCCAAAAAACAAGTTATGAATAAAAATATGACTTTCAGAGACTAAAATTGTATTCAATGTTACATACCATAGTAACTTCGATTTTTTTAGCTTGAAAGACAAACCACTCATTGGTGGAAAATGTCGAGGAACATTTACCGAATTTTATAAAAATAATAAAAAGTACAAGAGAAGAGGGGGTCAAACCAAAACCTCTTTAGTGAAGGCATTCCTTCACAAAATACATGTCATAAAATTAAAAAGAAAAGGTACAATGATTTTTTTTGAAGGGGGTTAGACATGACCCAAAATGAAACAAAGTGGAAATAAAGTAAATGATTAAAAATTAATAACCATAAAAGCAACCGAAATAAGGCAAGTCCATCGAATCAGTAATGAGAGATTTTTTTAATAGAAATAATAAAAGTAGTTGTAACTAAAACTTCTTTACTTTCACAGTCTATGACCTAACTAGTTTTTGTACCAAAATAATACCAGAGTATTAAAATGAGTTTTTTACACATATATTACCCAAATTAATTGGGTTTACAAATATATGACCATGACTATTTAATACGCACGCAGACCCATAACTGAACAAGGGAAATGACTTGATTGCCCAAAACGTTTAAGATTTATGTAAGGATAGGAAGTTTGGATTTTCCAGAGATGGAAGAGATGGAGGTCAGTAGGTAACTAAGGATCAATTCATTACAAACGTAAGGAATTAGGAGATGACTACTCATTTACAGATTTTGTATCTTAGTTCCATTGTTTAAATTTTCTTCGGACTTTGGTTTCTGGGTTGTCGGAGGCACCCGCACCACCTGGGTACGGTGATGATGAAATGTGTGATCCGAAACTTTCTGGTGGGCAGACTGTATGCGAAGAAATTTTCTGGGAAATTAGCTCAGGCTAATTTATTTTCTGGAAAATTAGACTGGTGCCTAGAGGTTCTGAAGAATCTGGGAAGAAATAAAAAATCTGAAATTCCTGAAGAAAGAATTTGGAGACAGACTGGTGTCTGAAGGTTCTGAATTATCTGAAGACTGAACTCAGGTTCTTGAAGAAAGAATCCAGTCTGAAACTTAAATTGAAATCTGAAAAACTAAACTAAAATGGAAGGCTCTGATACCATGTTAAAATATAAACTAAAATGATATGGAGAGAAGGATTTTCTATGTATTTCATTGAAGGGTTAAGTCCCTATAAATATACATTACAAATAGAATATTCCTATACAAGATTCTATACAATAATAATATCCTAAAGTATATTCCTAGAATATTCTGAAGCATATTATAATATTCTAAAGTATATTCTATATCTTTCACATGAATAAACTGAAACCAAATATTTTAATAAAAAAGCCCTAAATATTAATTTCATATACTTTGCTAATGTTCGATTCTCCCAACAGTTCCACACTTTTTCATGTTTTACATTTTATTTAGAATCTTCACCTCACCCACCAACAGCTATTAAGGTATTTGGACTAATTACTCTGCTGAAAACCCACTGACAGATATTTTTACTTGAGGATATTTTTGTCAATTTATGTGAAAACACTTCCGTTACTAACACTTCAATTTTTTAGCTCTCCCAAACAAGGTAAAGTTATGTTTAACACTTACACTTACCTTCCTTTTCGGGCCGTTACTAACATTTACTAATACTTCCATTACTAACACCCACTAACACTCAATCCAAACAGGCCGTAAGAGTCAATTAAGCTGGAGTGTTTGGGTGAAAGTGCATAAGTGATTCCGGGGCTCTAATTTACTCATAGAATCAGTTTTTTTAGAAGCTGGGGGAGACTAGCTTCTGAAAAATGATTCTGATTCTTCTTCTGATTTAAAAAGGAAGTAGAAGCAGAATCAGTTCCAAACACCCCTAAAGCAAAAGCGAAATCACAACTGACTGAATGACTGAATCTAAAGCAAAAAACGTTTGTCAAAAAGAACTAAAAAAGTAGAGAAAATGTGAAATTACATTAAAGGACACACGATTATTAATAGAATAAAATTTTTATTACACGGAGTGATTTTTTTAACTGATGAAATTGTAGAGGTAATTTGAGTTTGCACCCCATATTATTGTCCAAATTGGACTTTGCACCCCATTTTAAAAAGTCTTTGTTTTTGCACCCCAACCCTGTATGAAAAGACAAAAATGTCCCTCCATCAACAATTTTGTTAGCTTCAATATATTCTTGATCAAGAGACATTTTTGTCTTTTACGTGGGATTGGGTGCAAAAACAAAAATTTTTAAAAATGTGGTGTAAAGTCCAATTTGGACAATAAAATGGGGAGCAAACTTAAATTAACCCAAATTATACCTAGTGAGAAACGATTCACTCTTCCCAATCAACTTTCCAACCTTGTATTACCCTTAGGAATAAGGTACAAATAGGGTGTGGGAATTCTTGCTTAAGCATTCTCGGAGATTTACAGGGAGAAGTGGTCAAACGGCTGAGATTAGGTAAAACCAGAGAGGGATTCTCACGAGAAAAGGAATGAATGGAACAGAGCAGATGGAGAATAATAGCGGAATGAATATATGGCGATTAGGGGCGGAAGTAAAAATTACATACCTCAATCCGCAGAAGACAGAGCTGCACGTTAACAACCTGCAGTTGATTGAGGAACGAGGGATAGGACGGGAAATGAAAGTCTGGAAACGAGCGACTGAATACGAACGCTTCTTCCCCTAACGTTTCACTTCAGCCCTTCAAACAAACAGCATTATTTTTTTTAAATGACTGAATTTAATAAATTCCAGCTCTTTTTTAGCTTAAGTGGCATGTCGAACACAACCTAAGAAGCTGATCTTCTTCAACTTCTAAAAAAACTGATTCTATGAGTAAATTAGAGCACCACAATCACTTCTGCACTTTCCCTCAAGCACTTCAACTTATGTTTCTGCTCCCTGAAAGAGAAGAATCAGTTTTAAGAATCAGATCGAAACACCCCCTAACTACACCAAATTGTATGAGGTGGAGTAAAGAGTACACTATATTTCATTTTATTTTTTAAGTACACAAATTCATATTTTTAGTGTTAATTGAGCACACCCGTTAGATTAACACTTTAATACAACTGAGCTGACTAACGAAATTTTGAGTAAGAAGGGGTAATGGATCAATGTTATGGCGCCGATCTTCACGAAGTAGACCAAAAAAGAAAAATCGACCTTCAGAGGTCGACCTGCAGGGGCGTCAGCTAGCAGGGGTGCATCGACTAAAGAGAAGTCGACATGCGCGGATTGACGTCGACCAAGGAGAAGTCGATGAAGTGGTTGGGGGTGGCTTGACCTTCAAGGAGTCGACCTATTAGTGTTTTGTTAGCCAACTCAACTGTATTAACGTGTTAACCTAATGGATGTACTCAATTAACACTAAAACTCCGAATTTGTGTGCTTAAAAAGATCAAATGCAATATCGTCGGCTCTTTACTTCATCTCATACAAGTTGATGTACTCAATTTACCCTTACCTCGTTTGTATAGTATTAAGATTTATATAAGGATAGGAAGTTTGGATTTTCCAGAGATGGAGGAGATGGAGGTCGGTAGGTAACTAAGGATCAATTCATTACAAACGTAAGGAACTGGGAGATGACTACTCATTTACAGATTTTGTATCTTAGTTCCATTGTTTAAATTTTCGCGCTCCTGTACTTGAAGATGAACACGCATTGAAAGAGATCGGGACCAAAGATAGTCTAATTGTTTAGGGTGATAAATTTCTGATTAACATGATTGTGATGATTTTGGTTTTGCAAGGGTAAATAAAGATTTTTGGCCCAGTAACAGATTCAAACAGTAATGTCGGCGACCTAATTCTGATGTTGATGGAAATTTAGTACTCTGTAGTAACTAATTTATTGACTAGAGTGGAGTAATGAATTTGTAGTAACTTAAAGAGACGTAATTGTGATCTTTCTAGGAGTATGATAACTACCTTAAGGATATATATAGGAATAAAGTAATGGAGATATAGAACAAATTAAGTACCGAATTCTTAGTAACTATGGGCAAAGTAGTGATCACGTAGCCGAATTTGTAGTAAGGTAGTTGTAGTATATAGTAATATAATGAATTCTAAGAAGCTGTTCTGTTCGTCTTAATCTTATTACTTATTGCTTATTCTTATTTTATTCAGATCAGATCAGATCAGATCAGAAAAATTCAGATCAGATCAGATCAGATCAGAAACATTCAGATCAGATCAGAAACATTCAGATCAGATCAGAAACATTCAGATCAGATCAGAAACATTCAGATCAGATCAGAAACATTCAGATCAGATCAGGAACATTCAGATCAGATCAGAAAAGTTCAGACATGATTTATCTCTTTTATTATAATAATAATTATAATAATATTATTAATAATTATTATAATAATAATTATAATTATTATTATAATTATTATTATAATTATTATTATTATAATTATAATAATTATTATTATTATAATTATTATTATTATTAATTTATTATTATTATTATTATTATTATTATTATTCTTGTTGTTATTGTAATTATTATTATAATTATTATAATTACTATTATTATTGATATTATTATTATAATTACTATTATCATCATCATCATCATTACTATGATTACTATTATTATTATTATGATATTTATTATTATCATGATTATTATTATTCTTATTACTATTATGGTTGTTGTTGTTATTGCTATTAGTATTTTATGTTATTATTATATTACACGGAGTAATTACAATTAAAATTAATTGTAAATTAGGTTGAAACTCACCTCATTGAGTTTCGAACCCGAGACCTCCCATAAGGGAGAGTGAGTCGGCGACCAGCTGAGCTGGACCGCTTCCTCTAATTATAGCTATATTTATAACTAGTGTAATACGTATAATAATAATTATACCTATTATAATTATTATTATTATTATTATTATTATTATTATTATTATTATTATTATTATTATTATAATTATAATTATAATTTTTTTATAATTATGATTATAATTATAATTATATTTAAATTATATATGTGTAATTACATTTCTAATTATTATAATAAAAATTAAAATTGTAATTATAATTTTAGAAATATTTAAATCAGACCAGATCAGAAGGATTCAGATCAGACCAGAAGGATTCAGATCAGATCAGGAACATTCAGATCAGATCAGGAACATTCAGATCAGATCAGGAACATTCAGTTCAGATCAGGAACATTCAGATCAGATCAGAAACATTCAGATCAGATCAGGGACATTCAGATCAGATCAGAAAGATTCAGATCAGATCAGATCAGATCAGAAACATTCAGATCAGATCAGATCAGAACTTAAAAAATTCAGATCAGAAACATTCAGATCAGGTGAAGAGAACTGTAACACCCCGGCCCCGCAGGACCCGAGGTAGTTACTCCGGACCAATAGTACTGTCCCCACAAACCACCACGAGCCTTTACCGCGCACTTTGTCCTCACTCATGCGCGCCCTGAGAAACTTCCCAGGGGGTCACCCATCCCAAGACTACTCCCGTGCAAGCACGCTTAACTTTGGAGTTCTTGGGTGATGAGCTCCCTTAAAAGGAGATGCACCTCTGTAATCTTGAGTGAGGTAGTTACTTCAGACCTCTAGTACTGTCCTCACAAACCGCCACTAGCCTTTTAGGCGCACTTTGTCCTCACTCGTGCGCGCCCTAAGAAACTTCCCAGGGGGTCACCCATCCCAAGACTACTTCCGTGCAAGCACGCTTAACTTTGGAGTTCTTGGGTAATAAGCTCCCTTAAAAGGAGATGCACATCTGTTGGTATGAGTAGTACTATTAATCCGTTTATATTAAATTTCAAGTGTTACAAGAACAGCTTCTAAGTAATTGCGGATGTCTGTAAATATTCTTTGGATTTTTTTTTTTGATCGTATATTCTTTGGATTTTGAAAGAGATAATACTAATGGAGTTAAAAACTGAAACGGAATACAGATAAAGCCAAGAAGATATGGTAAATTAGTTGGAAAAAGAGCATGTGGCTGTTAGCAAGAGCCGAAGAGGTCAAATAAGGAATATTTAGATCGGGTTTATATGAATTTAATATGAGAGAATGTTTAGTAATATTTTTGTTAATGGCTCTCTAACTAGTAATATAAATGTAATTTTTTCTATTAAAATTCACAATATTTAATTAAAATTTGTAATCAATAAATAGATAAATAATTTAGATGGATCAATATACCCTCTAGGTTATATCTATAAATACCTAAGCTCCTAATTTTGTCTCTAACCCTAAGCCTCCATTCTCACACCTCCATAGATCCGCCCGTCTTCAACCGCATGCCCCTTGCCGCCTCCGCCCATGGCCCGTCGTCCGCCGCCGCTCCGTGGCCCGCAGCACAACCACTTGCTGTCGCCTGAAGTCGCTCTCTGTAATCTTCGTCTCTTTCTCAATTATGTTCTTCGTGCAGTCGGTGCAGATGGAGAAGGTGAGATGGAGTTAGGGTCGTCGTTGAGTGGGTCCCCACCCAGAGTTTCGCTGGCGAGGAAGCGGATGAAGAGGTTAGAGAGAGCTTCAGTGGAAGAATATTAGTGGTCGTCCGTGCGGCTGTCGTCAGATGACTCCGTTCACGCAAATAATTTGCCAATGACGTTGATTGTCTCTGTGGGATTTGAAAGACGTCTTGATGAGATCACCTTCTCTATTTCGCATCACCGCGCCACTAGAAGATCTACTGGGTGTATATGAAGCATCGACATTTTATTTTAAGTAGATTGTTCGACCTCATCCACTTAATTAGGCTCACATGTTTTTATCTTTCTTAAAAGTCCATGAAATCAACTTTTCTTCAATTAATAAATCATAATCTGTGTTCAGTTCCCATTATCGCAAACAAGTGGATCAATTTTGGATAAATAGCTTGATTTTGAAAATTATAGAGTCAATAGAGAGGGTCGATTCCATAGTTCCCCAAACCAGTTTGACATACGTCTTCCATATATGCGAGGAAATGATAATTGTCATGCTGCTTCTAAAGAGACCCAATAAGTGGATATTATCTATGGCCAACCACTAGGAGAAGAGCATTTGAAGAAAAAAGTTGTATTATCTGGGAATTGGAGTTCCCAGAATTCTCATAAAATATGACAACAAAGGACAAATAGTTGGGAAAATGACGGCCTTGAATCTGAGTAGGTTTTATGAAATAGGGATCATGCTATTAATAAGTTTCCATTGAGATAGCTTAATTTGAAATAGGTTATACTAATAATCCCAATTAATAACAATATAACATTACTAATATAAAAAATATTTTGCCAAAATATTACTATTGTTTCTAAACATTAAGTTTAGAAAAATATTATACATCCCAATTAATTATAATAATTACATTATTATTATTACTATTCAAATTATTATTACTATTACTATTCTAAATATTATTATTGTTATTACTACTATTATTTATTATTATACGTAGTAGTTATTATAGATATGGTTGTTGTTGTAGTAATTATACTCCTTCATCCCAAATTGAATTGCAAATTTCACTTTTTTATCAAGCAGTTTCATTTTATTCATTTAATTAGGATGTAAATTCTTAATTACGCCCTCCGTATCTAATTTATTGACCCATTTGCTTGTATGAAAAGTAAGAAGTTTTTGGTAGTGTTGCCGTACTTAAGCGGTACTGTAGTTGTTTTTTGAGTGAGCTTTTTTTCAGAAAGAGAATGGGACAATTAATTTGATGCGTCCCAAAAAAGAAATTGAGACAACTAAATAGATATGGAGGGAGTATATTTTAATTTGAATTATACAAATTTATAGAAATGTAATGTATTTTTTTTAATTTGTAAATTTTAATTATTAAATTTGAATTATTTATTAATAGGGAAGATTTAACTTTAAGATTGATTGATAAAAATGTTAACGTTGTAAAACAAATTGGAACGGAGATAATTGTTATTATTATTACTATTTCTATTACTATTAGGATATATAAGTAAATCAAAATACAACATTTTCTCAACCCATATTTGTGGTGCAGTGGTGTAAGATGTTGAAGGGAAATGGTTGGGCTTGGGTTCGATTCCCACAAGCCTCAACTACTTTGTTAGTTTTATACTGCGTGTGATTTAGTATATATGGTGACTAGCTTTCAAGCCCGTGCGATGCACGGGCAGTATGTAATTTAGCTAATTTGAAATTTAATTTCTTTCAGATCACATACAATGTGATTTAAAAGAAAAAAAATTAGTCTAATATAGAGTCTGTTTGATAATGCTAAAATAAATAGAATTAACTTATTTTGTTGAAATTGATTGAATTCTGGTTAAATAGGTGGAATCTCCTGAATCATGAAAAATATATGTGAAATATATTCCATCTGTGAAAGAAAGAAAAAATTATATGAAAAAAAGTTAAATTGGTCTTCTACATGAGCAGTAAACATAATTATTATGAACCCAATATTAAAAAAATTCTCTATTTCTTAATTGTTAGATCTTACATTTTACTCATTAATAAGGACGTCTTATTTGAATTAAAACTTCAGGTTCTATTTGGTATAAATTAATATGGTCTAGTAGATGTCTGTTTTTTTATGTGACTTATTATTATAATTGTTATGATTATTAAAATTTGATCTAATCCGATTTAATCTGAAACTGAAATCAATCCAATTAAAAACATTTTATTAAAATAAAAGTATGAATTTGTAAACATATCAAGATTTTCTAATTTGGATTAGGAATCTATTTTAAAAGTGAAGGCATATTTAAATTTTAATTGTAACATAAAGATACAACAAAAAATATTTACTTATTTGGCTAGGCTAAACGTATTTACTTGCGAAAATATATATACTTTATGTTGGTTATAATTTTTAATTTCATTTCTAATTATTTATTTATTTGAAGCTTACTAATTTATTAATAGGTGTCAAATTAATAAGTAAACTAATTTGCATATTTGTTTCTATTTAATTCCTTTTAGTAAACTTATGTAAATTAGTGATCATATCGTTATTAGAATTTCACTTTGATAACCAAAAATTATTTTACTTATTTAAAGCTTACCAAATTAATAATTAAGGTGGATTTCTAAGGATTTTTGTTTCCATATCAATATGCAATCAAAAATAGAATCTAATAAAAACAAAAGGTATAAAAAATAATTAAATAATTGTTATATATAATGACATGGCAGGATTATGTGGCGCATTGTATGCTCTTAAAAAGTTCCTCTTATATATATATATATATATATATATATATATATATATATATATATATATATATATATATATATATATATATATATATTGATTTGGACTTGTGATGTGGCGGGTAAATGATGTGGAAATGGAATTTAACATGGGTGTTGACATGGTGTGATGACTGTGCAAAAATACCCCTATCTAGGAAATAACTTCAAAAATAAGTTTAGAAAATACCCCTCTCCAGGAAATAACTCATTAAACAAAGTGGGGGTTTTTTGCAGCTTCTTAGAAGCTGTTCTCTTCGCCTGATCTGAATGTTTCTGATCTGAATTTTTTAAGTTCTGATCTGATCTAATCTGAATTTTTCTGATCTGATCTGATCTGAATCTTTCTGATCTGATCTGAATCTTTCTGATCTGATCTGAATGTTTCTGATCTGGTCTGATCTGATCTGAATGTTTCTGATCTGATCTGAATCCTTCTCATCTGATCTGAATCTTTCTGATCTGATCTGATTCGAATATTTCTATGATTATAATTATAATTATAATTATAATTATAATTATAATTATAATTATAATTATAATTATAATTATAATTATAATTATAATTATTATAATTGCAATTACAAATATAATTTAAATAAAATTATAATTATAATTGTAATTATAATTACAATATTTATCTCTATAATTGTAACTATAGTTATCAATATTATTATAATTACTCCGTAAAATAATTACAATAGTAATAATAATAATAATAATATTAATAATTATAATAAAAATAATAATTATAATCATAAATTATAATTATAATATCATTATAAGTATAATTATAATTATTATAATTATAATTAATAATAATTATAATTATATTAACATTAATTATAATATTATAATTTAATAATAGTAATATAAATACAATTAATATTATTATAACGATATTATTATATTAATATTATTATTACAATAATATAATTATATTATTATTATATTAATATTATTATTACAATAATATAATAATAATATTATTAAAATAATATAATAATAATAATATGATTATTATTATAATTAGTATTATATTATTATAATATTATATTATAATTATAATTATAATCATAATTATAATTATGGTTGTAATTATAATTATAATTATTATAATTATCATTAATTACAATTATATTTATAATTAATTATAGATATAATTATAATAATTACAATTGATTATACTTATAATTATAAGAATTATAATTGTAATTATAATTATAATTACATATAATTATAATATAATATTATAATAATATTAATCATATTATTATTATTATTATTATAATATTGTAATAATAATAATAGTCTTCTTAACAATTGCATTTATATTACTATTATTATATTAAAATATTATAACTATTATTAATATCTTTTTTATCATATTATTATTAATATTATTAATAATAATTATATAATAATAATCATAATAGTAATAACAATATTAATAATAATAATAATAATTAATATTTAATATAATAATAAAAATGATAAATCATGTTTGAACTTTTCTGATCTGATCTGATCTGAATGTTTCTGATCTGATCTGAATGTTTCTGATCTGATCTGAATGTTTCTGATCTGGTCTGATCTGATCTGAATCTTTCTGATCTGATCTGAATCTTTCTGATCTGAATCTTTCTGATCTGATCTGATCTGAATTTTTCTGATCTGATCTGATCTGATCTGAATAAAATAAGAATAAGCAATAAGTAATAAGAATAAGACGAACAGAACAACACCTAACTTCATGATAAGCAAATGCTAGAGTGAAGTGACCATCCTTCTAGCCAACCGGATACTCTGCCATTTGAATCATAAAAAGATAAGCACTCCCCCTCTTTAGTGCTGGACTCGGGCCGGGTGGCCCGGCCCGGAACCGGCCCGGCCCGGTTACTGTTTGGCCCGGCCCGGGGCCCGGTGGGTCCACCGGTTCGGTTCGGCCCGGCCCGGCTGCTGGGCGGTTCGGGCTCGGGCCGAGGTTTTGGTGATCCGGCCCGGCCGGTTCGGGCCCGGTCCGGGCCGGATTTTATTTTTTTTTTTTTTTTTGAATTTTTTTTTAAGTTTTAGGTTGGATTAGGTATTTTGGGCCATTTGAGGTGGTTTGGGATGGTTTGGGGTTGAGGGGGAGGGGTAGGGGATTAAATAGGAGAACAAAAAAAAAAAATTAATTGGGCCGGTTCGGCCCGGCCCGGCCCGGTTTGGCCCGGAACCGGGACCGGAACCGGCCACTGGCGGTTCGGGCTCGGGCCTCCCTTTCCTGGCCCGAGGCCCGGCCGGGCCCAGGCCCGAACCGGGCCCGAACTGTCCCGAGTCCAGCCCTACCCCTCTTTGTTAAATTGGGATAATATCCTCCAGACGATTGAATCAGAAACTTTAGGGTTCATGTCACCATTTATAGGATATCTAAAATATCAAATTTTTTTCCAAAGAAATCACCAGCGTTACCATTTAAAATAGATAATGAAGTACTTAAGAAAAATCATAACAAGAAGTCTGAAATGGCATAACAATAAGTTTATAATGGTAATTGCGCATTAGAAAATGCTTAGAATATTTAGATTGTTAATTTAATACTCAATACTATAAATTTATATTTATGCAAGTTTAGGATTTTACCTTACATATCTTAAAAGTTTGAGGTATATAAATGATTTTTTTAAAAAGAGGTATATGGACTATGGAATATCAACCACCGAGTTGATCCTGACAAAAGATGTTTTTACTTGAACTTTTTTTAGTTCTAGACCAAATCAGATCAAATTTAAATAGACGAGACGAGACCAGATCAGACTCGACTTCCATAGTTATAAAATGCACAGAGGTCAGACTACACTCAAACAGACTTGTCACACCAGACCACCAAGTTTACATCCAAATAAAAACGAGTTTTTGCCACTTTTGGTCATCCGAGTATTGTGTCAGTGACACTTTTGGTACACGACTTTTAATTTTTCCATTTTTAGTCCACGACTATTGTGAGAGAGACACTTTTAGTTCTAGACTTTCATGTTTCCCACATTTAGTCCTTTGAGTATTATCAAATTGACACTTTTAGTCCTTCTGCTATGATTTTGACACAAGAAGTGGATGACTAAAAATGACTCCATTGCAATAGTTGAAAGATCAAAAGTGTCACTTTTACAAAAGCCGAAGGACTAAATACAGAAATTTTCAAAGACGGGTACCAAAAGTGTCTCCCGCACAATAGTCAAGTACTAAAAAAGGAAAACTTAAAAGTCAAGTATCAAAAGTGTCACTGACACAATAGTCGGGGACTAAAAGTTGCAAAAGAATAAAAACATTCAAAATAGACTTATATATAACTATAAAAACAAACCAAAAGACTTTAATACCCTTCAATATAAATAGTTCAATCGATCGGCTGCATCGGCGCTCCATCTCCTCGACGCTCCGACTCCATCGACCGGCACTGCATCGACGACCTCTGTCGCCATTTTCTCCCCTCCGCCATCTCCCTTTGTCGCCCCTGACGCCGCCGGAAGCCATCGCAGGTTTGTCCCTTGTTTTCTCATCCTCTTGTTCTACATGACGCTTCGCGGTTCACACATTGCGAAATCGTCAATTTCTAAACGAACTGTCAGGCTGAATCCAGTCCAGGTCAATTAATGAACAATCGGCTACGGATTGTTAATGCGTTAGGTTTAGGTGACAGTTTTTTATGTCCCTTCGACGGAAAATCATGCATAGCCCGACGAAGGAGAATGAGTCACGGCGGGGTTAGGGTTTGGCGATAGCAACCATGGTGGTGTGACGGCGGCGCGGTTTGAGGTTTGGGCTGCGCGGGTGCAAGGGTGGGGGTAGGGTAGGTGTTGGGGAAGGGGCAGGGGACTAGGACAGTGGGGGAGAAGGGGTCGTGGAGGTGGCTAAGGGGGTTGGGGGAGCGGTGGGCTGCGGTGGCGGGGGAAATGGTTGGGGAAGTTGTGGGGTGGTGGCTGGAGAAGTTGTGGGGCTGGCGGGTCAGGGTTCATCAGGAGTCCCGGAAGTCACTGATCACTGCCGGCCGCAAAGTCATTGTCACTGCCGCTGGGTGTCACTAGACAGGGGCGGACCATAGTACAGACCCGGGGCGGTCGCCCCCTCAACAACAAAAAAATTTAGGGTATATATATACCAAAAAATAATTTCCGCCCTCCCAATTTTTTTTGTTTAAGTTACCGTCCTCCCAAGATAAACTTCTTGGGTCCGCCCCTGTCACTAGAGGAAACGGTGTTAGGGGCACCAATAGGTCACTTTTGGCAAGTCACTGTCCAAGGTCACTGTGTACGGGTCATTGGGCAGCTGAGTCATAAATCCTTGGAGGGTTGATCACTGTCAGTAGGTTTGGGGACTGCGGTGGTCAGTGACTGGCGATTGGTCATGGTCAATGGATCACTTTGATTGATTTAAAGTCTCATTTTTGGAAACTGAAAAAGGCATCTTAGAGCTGCTTGAGAGCTGATTAAGCGCTGGCTGGTGGTATACCAATCTATGACCACTTAGATAGTTCTACAACGATGTACACAATTGGCGGGTTGTATTGAGAAATGAGCTCTTTCAGCCTGGTGTGGAACCTTATTGGATGTTATTACTGCTTATTTACATCATTATCTTCAGACATAATTTGATAATAGCTATCAAATTATAAAGTTTATTCATTAATGCTACCTTGTACAGAGTGTGGCAATGCAAGATACAAGTCCAGCATCAAGTGCTATATTTGATGTAATCAGTTCGTTGAGGAGAAAGGTCGAGTTGGAGCGTGATTTATATGTAAAGGTACATTCTCTTCCATGTTTGACTCAGAATTTAGAATGTTGATTCATGTAGTCTTATAAGATCCTAACAAATATTGTTTTTTTTGTAATTTTATTGATCTTTTTACAGAAAAGGATTCAAGAAAATACACAGAAGCTGGTTGATGTAACAAAAGTGCTTAGCGAAATATCAGTAGAGAGAAGAAATCTTAAGATTCTCGGACCAGATGAAGGTGTTGATCTACTGTCAAAGAGGCAGAAAGATGCTATCGATATGCAAAATGGCATTGATGCTAGCAACAAGGATATCGATAGCAATAGCCCTACAGAAGATGGCTATGGCTCTGCTATTCTTTTAGGATCTAGCATTGCAGTCAAGAATGCTGTTCGCCCCATTAAAATTCCAGAAGAGAAAAGACTACCTACTTATACTACTTGGCTTTTTTTGGATAGGTAGGTTAAAGAGTATTGACTTGCTTCCCTTCCAACCCATAATTGTCTAACATAACTCCAATCAGAAGAGATAAGTGCCTGTTTAACTGACAATGCTCCAAGAATTGAGCCCCCCTTGCTTAGAACATTTGGTTTTGCCATGACCATGTTTTCTTTCTTGTGTTGTATTTTTTTTCTAAGAGGAAATTAAGCATGCTTCTTTGTTACATTGTGAATATGTGCTCTGGTTCTATCTGTATAAAATATTAGAGGTTTTTTATTAATGTTATCCTGCTCAATGGAGTTATTTTGTTATTGCAACATCACATTATGAGCATGACATAAGTCAAGTTTTTAACCATGCAATCTATGCGGCGTTTAAAATTGCTTTACTGGGATTCTTGAAAGAAATTTGATCGTGCATATACTTGTGCAGAAACCAAAGGATGACTGAAGATCAATCTGTAGTTGGCCGGAGAAGAATTTATTATGATGAGAATGGTGGAGAAACTCTAATTTGTAGTGACAGTGATGAAGAAGTAATTGAAGAGGATGAAGACAAAAAGGACTTTGCAGAGTCTGAAAACTATATTTTGCGGTTCGTGCAGTTCATCTACTAGATATGTTATTGTGTCCCTGACCATTCACAATGTTTGTATGTGTGCCACACTATAAACCTGCTTGGCTATTATTGATGAAACGTCTTCTCTTGTGCGAACAAGGCTGTACCTAAAATTTCCACCTTTTGTGCTTTGGTTGAAATTGAAATGGTGCAAATACTAACTATGTTATTATATTGCATTTTAGAATGGCTATTAAAGAAGTGGGCTTGTCCGATACGATACTGGATTTGTTAGCTCAGTGCTTGTCTAGAAAGCCTTCTGAAGTAAAGGTATTCTCTCTGGCTGATGATCGAGATGATTTTGTAGTATTTCTTTATTCTTGGCTTTATCTGATAAGTACTGGTCATGATGTAAAGTTTTGTCCAGCTGTTTCCCATTTGATTTTTGCTGGCTTTACAGATATAAACCACCATCAAACATCTTATACAGGCAAGATATGAAGATCTAGTCAAGGAAGAGATCACTGCTAAGAATGATATCACTGAAGGAACACTTAATTTGTTTCTTGACAAAGACCTTGATGCAGCAATGGATTCACTTGACAATCTATTTTGCCGCAGATGCCTTGTAAGTAGTACATATTTTGAACTTCATTTACTTCATGAAGTGTTTTTTCTTAATCTATTTCTTGCAGATGCCTTGCAAGTAGTACATATTTTGAACATCATTTTCTTTATCTGGATACTTTTTGAGTTTGTGTGTGTGTCACTGTGATCTCTTAATGGCAGAGGATGGATGGCACTATGACATAAAATCCGCCATGCCATTCTGCTATAGCACCCCATGACCACCATTTAACAAATTAACAACATTGGTAGTGGTTCCAGTTTATAAGACATCATTAGTAATTTTATTTATTTATTTTATGCTTTAGTTTTATTTACTTAAATTCAAAATAAAAACAAGGTAACTGGTTGGTTATAGTGTGTTTGTTTTCATTTTCTGAAAAAATAAAAGTTAGGAAAACATAATTTTGAAAATATGTTTCCAATTTCATATTGTTACATAAGTGTTTAGAGTTTTAGAGCTTTTTTAAAAATCACATGGTTTTGTAATAAGTACTATAAATCACATAAATACAACAGATTTACCATTCATGTTTATTGAAAATGAGCAATAGGAAGAAACATATTTTGAAGGAGAAAACATAAAACAGAAGATTAATCGTAGCATAAACATTCAGTGTGCTAATTATATACATCTCTTTCCTTTTTTGGCTTTCAGGTCTTTGATTGTAGATTACATGGATGTTCACAGGATCTTATATTTCCAGTGAGTTGAGTTTTTAGAGAAGCAAATGTAAATGATGTGGGGAACTCATGATGCGTAGTTTATTTTTCAGGCTGAAAAACCACCTTTGTCGTTTGGCGCTGATGCAGACAAGGAACCTTGTGGCCCTAACTGTTATCGTGAGGTATGCTTCCTTTACTCTTGTCTTCCCAACCTGATTTGCATATCATTCTTCTCCTTTTTCACCTTAAAGCCTTAGTATTTCATTATTAGATATGTACTTGCTTACACATCTTTCTGTCATTGCTACCAAGTGTAATGAGGATCACAATTTATTCAGATATCAAAGCCAGGCTTTAACTCCAAAATGAACTCCTCACACCTGTGTGAAGAAAACACTATCCCATCATCTGAAGGTGCTACTATTGAATTTCCCTTGAAGAAGCATGTGGAGAAAATATCAAAATCTTCTCAGAGTGGAAGTGCATCTTCGTCTGCCAAAAGCACATCTGAAAGTAGTGACTCTGAGCCTAGGCCTACTAGTGATGCCACATCTGCCTGCCGTTCGTCATCACTCGGTAAAAATAATAAAAGAAATAGTAAGCGTATTGCTGAGAAAGTTATAGCTGCCGTCAGAAAGAGACAAAAAAATTCAGCAGCTTCGGAGTGCGATTCTGGTGCAAGTGAAAATTTGAGCCACCGTTCGCCCAAACACAATGAAAACACTAGTTCATCTTCACAAAAAGAGCAATTTAGCAGTAGAAAGACCAGGAGAAAAGCATCTCAACTTGTGGATGCCAACAAATCTTCACATTGTGAGGTTTTAGTTTCAACCCAAAATGAAGCATTTAGTGACAGACAGGTGATGAGTGATGGAATCCAGAAGGCTGATGAACCTGCAAATGAAAATATCATGAAGAAAGAAGTATATAAAGATAAATCTTGGAAACCAATGGAGAAGGCTCTCTTTGAAAAGGGTCTGGAGATTTTTGGAAGAAGCAGGTTAGTACACTTAAAGATATGGTTACCCTCCTCCTGTTCCATTCTATGTGTGTGACTTGTGCAAATATGCTTCACTTAAGTCATTTACAATGTGGTGTTTTAAATGAGTTAGCTTAGACTTGGTAAACATATTTATATATGCCGAAACTAAATATAAGTGATATGTACATAAACACCAAATTCAACAATTAAAGGAAAATAATATAGAAATAGGTGAAGAAAGAAGAGTTGGATTGATGAACAAAATGCAACATATCGAACGACATACAATTTGTGTGTTGTTTATACACCCTTGTCCCCTTGCTTCTTTATGAGAGTTGGATTGATGAACAAAATGCAACATATCGAACAACATACAATTTGTGTGTACACTTGTACCCTTGCTTCTTTATGAGAGATGGTTTAGTGTTTCTGGACTCTTTGATTTGCCTTCATAGGTTGATATCATTTTCTTTTGAAAATGCTGTGTGCAGTAAAATGGCACTATAGTTGGTAGAACTCACATTTCTATGCATTTAACTGGACCTGCAAATGATTTATCAAAATTTCCTAATCCTATGCATTTATGTTTTCAGTAAACTATTTACTATAATATGAACTACTGGAATATGATCCCCATTTTCTTTATTATGAATTACTTGGTCTAGTGGTGCCCTATAATGGTAGAAGTAGCTATGTGTTTGTTTGGTTTGTCAATATCTTTGTTTTTCAATCACCATACAAAACTCTCTTTTGTGGACAGCTGTTTGATTGCCCGGAATCTCATGAATGGTCTGAAAACATGTTTGGAGGTTTTCCAGTATATGAACCGGACTGGGAATAATCTATCTACTCGAGCAGACAGTGGTGTAGACTGCATGATTGAAGGTGGTGCCAAGGGTGACGAAATTTTGGTCAGTATTTCATATTATTGGTCTAAATTTGATCTTTTTGATGTTTTTTTTATCGTTTTGAATTAAAGTTTCCCTTGTGTTTCGATGTTTATAGTTTCTGTGTTTTTTTTGGGAACTCTTACTAGGGTAGTGAAGCACGTAGACGATCAAGATTTTTGCGTAGAAGAGGTAGAGTTCGTCGTTTAAAATACACATGGAAATCAGCAGGATACCATGCAATAAGGAAGCGGATATCTGAGAAGAAGGATGAGCCTTGTCGGCAGTATAATCCTTGCGGCTGTCAGTCTCCCTGTGGAAAGGAGTGTCCTTGTATTGTAAATGGTACCTGTTGCGAAAAGTATTGCGGGTAAGTTAATTGTTCCTTTCTAAATCCTGAAATCTTTTTTAGCCCATGATTTATCCCCATTGCATCTTAGACCGAGTCCTAACCAAAACTGGACAAGCCAACCATCATTTGAGTGTTATTGTATTGTAAATTGCATATCAAATTATCATCAGAATAAACTATGTAAGTTGTACTTTTCACAACATGAAGTTTTGGGGTTTGAATTTTGAACAAAGTATTCTCCTGGTAAACCCTGAGGCCATGTTCAGTCCCAAGCTGAACACCATTTATGTGTTTTTTGCTAGTTACCCTTTGCAGATCAATAAATGCTGCTCAATTGTTTTCTTATTCTTATTTCTAGATGTACAAAGACTTGCAAGAATCGTTTTAGAGGATGTCACTGTGCTAAAAGTCAATGTCGAAGCCGCCAATGTCCATGTTTTGCTGCAGGCAGGGAATGTGATCCTGATGTTTGCCGGAATTGCTGGATTGGGTGAACACACTATTTATCTTCTCTAGCGAATACTTAGTTTTCACTTCTTAGAAACTGTTCGTATGCTCTAGCAACTGACATAGCGTTTATGCTCTCTTCCAGAAGCTAGCACCCTTAGAATGATCAAAGTAGTTGTCTGCTTGTATAGTTGTACCTAATGCCCTAACCATCTATTTTGGGAAGCCATCAACACAATGTTGATAAAAACATCACACCGGTGCTTAGTTGAGCACACATACCTTCAACCAAGTTTCTTCAGATGGCTAATGCTTATGTTTCTACGGAGTAGTTCTTATGAATAAACTATCAGTGTAAACATACATATATCATAATTGTTGCAGCATCATACTGATGTGATATTTCTTATGGCGTTCCTTCCATTAATCCATTGTGGAAAACTGCTATGCATATTGTGGAAAACTGATATACTACTGTTTGTTTTGGCTGTGTAGCTGTGGTGATGGGTCACTTGGGATTCCTTTACAAAGAGGTGATAACTATGAATGCCGCAATATGAAGCTACTACTCAAACAACAGCAAAGAGTAAGTCGTATTTAGATTATATACAAAGCTGTTGTTGTTTTGAACTTCTCCTTGATATGAGCAACTCTGGTGTACTTCTAATGTACAGATTCTTCTTGGAAGATCTGATGTGTCTGGTTGGGGAGCTTTCTTAAAGGTAAATATTGAGTATGCTTATGTTTAAGCTATAATTGTTGGATCATTCTCATGTTTATTTTGCCTGCTTTCAGAATAGCGTTAGCAAGCATGAATACCTAGGGGAATACACTGGTGAATTAATTTCACACCGTGAAGCTGATAAGCGTGGAAAGATCTACGATCGGGAAAACTCTTCTTTCCTCTTCAATCTAAATAATCAGGCAATGACAAATGGTTTGCTCTCTCAAACAGATCACCACTCTCTTTTACCGAACTTGTTTACTAATTAATGTGATTTTGTTTGTGTAGTTTGTGCTTGATGCTTTCCGGAAAGGGGACAAGTTGAAGTTTGCAAATCATTCTCCCAATCCAAATTGTTACGCGAAGGTAGACCACCGACCTGTTGTTTTGGTTGCTAAAAAAAGCATCTTTCAGCCTTTTGCATGAAAATAGTTATCTTTAAGTTTTGTTTTCAAACTTGTACTTTTGTTTCAATTTAAAAATTTTAAAACAAAAAGTTACTTTCATTTTTTATGAATACTAACTTTTACAGTTAAGTTCCCCCTTTTGTAATCTCCAAAATAAATCACTTGCCACAAGCAAACCCTTGCCATGGCTTTTTAACTTTTTTTAACGCCTTGTGGGGCTCATTTCTTTGGTAGGTCCTTATGGTTGCTGGAGATCACAGGGTTGGTATATTTGCGAATGAACGAATCTCCGCTGGGGAAGAACTGTTTTATGACTACCGATATGATCCAGACAGAGCTCCTGCCTGGGCAAGGAAACCTGAGGCGGGGTCCACATCCAAAAAAGATGACGCAACCGCACCTTCCGGTGGACGTGCTAGGAAGCATACTTAATTCACCTTTAGTTTATTTCATTGGTTTGTTATTCTCTCTAACTCAGTTGCTGAAGACTATCTTTAGCCTATAGAATGCAGTTAACCATCAGACTTTTTGTTAAAATTTATTTTTATTTTTATTTTTTTGACAAAAGCACTCAGTACAGTGTATTTATTGAACGCGTAATGTCGTTTTTTGTGTTTCATAGTTTTAATTCATTTTGGTGGATCTTAACTTAATAATGCTTGCGAAACAGAATAGAAAGCTTATGCCTTAAAAGCAGAAAATGAAACTGAGAATGAAATCTTGCTTTGCACAATTTGGCTTTATTACTACGTATTTCGGTGACACTCGTTGAGTCGTTGGTCCCGTTCTAAATGTTAATCTCGTAGTACGGTTCTATTATCTTGGGTACTTGTCTACTTGATGCGGAGACAAAATGAGAATATGAGATTTATGATAAAAACATGGAATTTCAGAAAAAGAAATCCATTAACAATTTAATATTTCTTAACAACTTCGATTTATTTTATCAAGAAAAAAGAGATCTCCAATTCTCCATCGGTTTTTTCTGTGTTAACAAATTTTTTGATGTCATTTTTTTACAGTTTCTTTTAAAAAAATCTTCATAATTTATCTACTTTTCTCATATACTTGAATACTTGATTGGGATCTCTCTCAAATGATTGAGTGAAGTAGTGAATACCTATTTATAATTGAGGAAATTACTCCAAGAGTCTACTTTGATGTATCACATGATTCACATATCATTAATGTCCCAAATATTTTCTCTTTTCATTTTTAACTTTTCTCTTTTCAATTTTAGTTTTTTATTTCACTTTCGGACACCTTCGATATAAGTAGAGTAATAACCTCAATCGGCCTTTATGGTGGCTATGTTGGCGAAATAATCAGGAGAGCCGATGGAGGTCTGGAGCTCGGCTTTTCTCGTTTCTCGTTTTTGCGATGTAGCTATATTCGCATTCCTTGTCCCAGTGTCATTAGGTAACCATGCGATTGATTTGATGCCCTCCAAGCCGGGAACAAAGAGTGGAGGCCTCCATGTGTTTCGGTTGCAGATGAGAGAATGGATCTTCCTCCAGTGTCCAGACGAGAACTTTCCTTGTACAGAACAAAGTTAACTTCCACTAGGTATAGCAGGTTTAGTGATTAGCAATTGATTGATTTATAGAACGATTTTCTCAATCTCTATTTTACTTTCAGGGGTAAATCAATAAGATACTTAGATGGGATAGGATTAATAAACGTATTCCTGAGGCTGACTGTGATCATATCCGGATTTTTTTATTATAAAAAAAAATAAAAAATTAAAAAAATAAACGTATTCCTTAGCTTATCAGGCGAAAACTCAAAGTCAAGCTGCGGGAACATCAACTGCGGGTAGGCTTCAAGCTGATTCAATGTCGTTAATTATAAGCTCGAGATCTTCCAAATCTGATGAGAATTGCGGATAAACTTCACTATTCAATCAAGTGAGTTAATCTTTCATTCTTCTTCTTTATTTTTCTATTAATCATTAAGCTCTATGTTTCCGTGCTATTGAAATGTCTGCTCCTGTTTGACTGTTTCTGTAATTTTGCCTGAGTCCCATTCCTAGGATATGAGCAGGAACATTTTAAGGTTTGGAGATAATTCAAGTAAGGACGTGAGTCAATCAGGCACACCGTAGAGATTCTATGTCCCTCTAGCTAGTTTCTCAATTTGGACCTTTTAATTGTTATCTTTTGATTGTTTTTTATTGTAGTAATCCCTATACAAGTATAAATATCAATCTAAATCTTAAAAAATGTAACAATAAAAATGAACTTTTGTTTATTATCAATGTTATGTTTTTATGTATTAAGCCTCTGTATCCTTATGTTGTGCTTTCTTGCATTTTTGAATTGGGTGACTACATATGAAAATATTTGTTGTTGTTGCTCTGGTTGAATTGAACTGGTTCATATGTAGGATTAATGAAACTATACTTGTGCATTTGGCATGTTAAATATTACTCAGGGTTGTAAGTTTGAAAGCAACTTGTTGGTTCATTACTGAGATGGTTTGTGACTTATAATAAAAATGGAGTTCATATCAATGCCAAACCTATTATGTGGTCTCTGTAGTATCCTATCAACTCATTTTTGTCAAAATATTCAAATAGTACTCTGTTGATGGTTCTTGTACTGGCTGAAATAATTAGGAGCAAAGTGAAAGAACAAAAAGGGAAAGATAGCCATAGGAAGAGTAAGGGAATTTATATATGTTTTGGTTTATTGAAAAAATATTTTTTCACTTCAACAAACTGTAAACAACATGGAAACTATATTTGTTTTTTGCACATAATCATTCTGTTGGGGTAGCTCATCTCAAATAACAAGATATAAAGATACAAACAGCAGGTTTGGGGGGGAGGGTTCAAATCATAGAGTTCACTGTTGCCTATAATCAAAGGAGGGGATCCACATCACCCCACAGTAGTCATGGACCCGGTTCGGGCCGCCCGGCCCGGGACCGGCCCGGCCGGCTACTGTGCGGAACCGGAACCGGCCCGGTTCTCGGGTCCGGGTCCGGCCTAGGCCCGGTGGGGGGGGGGGGGCGGGTCCGGGCTCGGGCCTTGTATTTGGCGAACCGGCCCGGCCGGGTCGGTCCGGGCCGAATTGATTTTTTTTTTATTTTTTTTTTTTCATTTTTTGGGGTTACCCGGGTTGGGCTTGATGGTTAGGAGGGGTTTGGGGGGGTGAGGAGGGGTTAGGAAAGCAAAAAAAAAATATGACAAACCGGAGGCCCGGCCCGGCCCGGACCCGGACCGGACCCGGTGGCTACCCGGCCCGGACCCGGACCGGACCCGGTGGCTACCCGGGCCGGTCCCGGGCCTTCCTTCCCAAAAAAAAGCCCGGCCGGGCCGGGCCCGGAACCGGAACCGGCCCGGCCCGGGTCCATGACTACCCCACTGTCCCTTGGAGTACCTACCATAACATGTTCCTACTCACCTCGTTACAGGACACCTTTTCAAAATCCCTCAGGTAATTAAAAACCAATCCCTTTGATAGGACACTGAGGTGTTTCAATCCCTCACTGGTAATAATCATAAGAGGAAGTTTTTTTTTTTTTATTTTGTTTTCTTTGGATACATAACAATGTGCCAAATGAATTTCAAGCACTATCCTCATCAACGTGGTTTTGAACTCCATTTTCACTGTCTAGAGTCATAATCGCCCTTATCTCAGAATCCCAGAAACATTATGCTAAATATAACAAAAGACTGCATCAAGAAAATACGAACAATCTCAATTTGGAATGAAAAACTATTGCATCCTCAATTAAAAGATTTTATATATAAGAAAATCATGACGGAAAGTTTTTATAATTACAAAACTAATTTAAATAACGTTTTTTTATCATGCAGGTCTCTCCTTCAAGTGTAGTGCGATATGATATGCCTCATGAAAGGACTAATTTTATCCTCTCAGTACTTGTAAATGTATATCATAAAACGAGTTTGGTTTTACACTCTTATATATTGTATAATTATATAAAGAAATTATACAAAATGAGACTAAAACATTGACAAAACTCTAAAACAGGAGTATAAGTTTATTTATCCCTAAATAGGACTCCACATTACATTTTTGCCCTTCTCCTAATTAAATCACCGCCTCCGACATACGTAGTATTAGAAATTAGCGATCTGCATCTTCCTCATCAGAACCTCAGGTCATGATCGACAAGTTCGCCAGCAATTTTACAGTCTTCCATTGCCGCCTCTGCCGCTCACCGGTACCATAGTCATATCCGCTACTCGTTGGTATCACAGCCATAGCAACCGCCAGTCTTCTCCATCTCCGCCAGCCTTATGCAATTTTCCCCATGTGATCAAGTCATTTCTCCTTTTCCTTCCCTCTTCTCTTCTCCTCTCTTCTCTCTCTCTTCTTTCTCTTCTGTTTCCTTGTTGGTCGTGCTCTGTTTTTGTCTCTTGGGATTCAATTAGATCTGATGAATTGGATGGCAATTGAATAAGGTTGGAGGGGATGGGTATTGAACAAGTTTTGAGCAACGAGTGTGCAAACTTTTTTTATTGGATTTTTAATTTATTTTATTATTTTTGAATTTGAAAATTTCATAAATTTAAAACTGAATTGAAAAAATGTCACAAATAAATTAAAATGACAAGGTCACCTTGAAATTAAAATATATGAAATGTCATGTTTTTTGCCCGTTTGGCAAAATAGTGTCATTTTTATGCTAGTCAATTTATAAAGATGTAATATTATTACTCAAATGAAGAGCTAGATTTCCACAAAGGACAAGTAATAGGATATATCTCAACTTGAATTTCTTGTTGTCACTTTTGATTAATTTGAATCTCAAAATGTCCTGACTAATGATTCTCAAGAAAATGTTACTTTTTGAATAAAAAAATGTCATAATTATTGATTATTTGAAAAAATGTCTCTTTTATGTCATTACAATATTTAAAATTGTCATATTGAGAATGTCATGTTTTTACACAAAATTGTCGTTATTGTGTCATTATGCATACCAAGTGGCATTCTCGCATATTAAGTGACATTCTCGATGAAGGTTACATGGACTTGTCGGAGAACGGCGACTTCAATGGAGGATGCCGGCGGCGAACACAGCGGAGGCGGCGGACTAGCTTGGAGGATGCACGGTTGCGACACTTGAGGAAGGTTGCCGCTCATGTCTGAATGATGTCTGCGGCACATGTCTGGAGCAGGATGGATGAGATGCGCATAAGATGTTACGGCAGTTTTCATTAAGGCTATTAGTGTCCAAACACAAATATTTAGTCCTATTTATGAAATTTAAAACAATAGGTCTTGTTTTTACAATTGTCTCATTTTTTAGTCCTCTTTTGAAAATTCTCTCAATTATATATGTAATTGTAATCATGAATATGAAAAAAGACGTTTAAATGTGGATCTTATTTGTTATTTTTCTTTTTGTTTCTCTTTGTTGTTTTGTGTTGCTTTTTGTTGTATCTTGTTTCTTTTTGTTGTAATCTTGTTGTTTTTTGTTTATCATTGTTCGATGATTGACTTTTATTATTTTTCTTTGTTTTTCATTTCTGTTTCCATTTATGCTTGCTAATTTGGTACAAACTCAATCTGTGTGTGCGTAATGATAAAATTGCATGTAATAATACATCAATAAGAAACGTAAATAAACAATAAGAAACAAAATATGAAAATTCATCAACAAAAAGAAACAAAAGGAAATACAAAGAAACCATATAAAAACAATGCAAAAAAGCCAACATATAAACAACAACAGTAATAATATTAAAAATATTTTATTTTTTAAAATTAAATATTCACAATTTAAAATAATTTAGGTTTTTAAATCATAAAATATTGTAAGTAGTTTAAATACAATTGTTTTCAAAAATTGTAAAATTGTACTCGGTGTGTTGCATTTGGTGACATTTATATATATATTTAACCCTTCTATTTTTTTTTTTTGAATTGTGTATTTCTTAAATTCTTATTCATGATTTATCAACAAAGTGAAACACAAATAAACAATAGAAAACAAAAACTAAGAATAGAACGATACTAATAATAATAGTGCATAATAATTACGTTTTCTATTATTGGAAATAATAAGAATTTGAATTTCTATTTCGAAGTATATTTTAGAAGTTGTAATATGATTTTTTCAAATTCTTTTAAATTTTTTATCTTTATTTAGTGTTTTTAGATTTTGACTTTGTATATATACTCTTCTTCTTACAAAATATTACTCTTCCATACAACTATATATATTTTTAAATTTTTTAATAGCTAAAAACACAATTTAAATGTTTTAATAATTATATTAAGGACTTTATAAAATTCATTACTACATAACACAATTTTGTACTCTTTTATAGCTTTTCTCACATTTTAAAATATTTTAAGCTTTTTTTTATATTTGAGTTTTTTTGGAAGAATTTTTACTTTTGAGTTATGTATTCTCAAAGTTTCTGATTTAATTTCTCTTTAAAAAAAAACCATATGTTTTCAATCATGATTAATTTGTGCATTTTTTGAAGTTTTTATTTTTTGGATATTAGTTTTTTTTCTTTTATTTCAAAAATAAAGTATTAGAATCTTATTATTTCTCAATATTATTTTAGAATCTTATTATTTCTCGAAAAATATAATTTTAGAATATTATTACGTAGTATTATTTATTTATTATTATTTATCTTTACAAAAAAAAAATCTTATTATTTCTCTAAATATTTTCATCGTGTTATCCTAAATTTTATGTATTCAGTTTTCTATTTAAAAAAAGAAGTCATTCTTGTAATTTCTATTATTTTATCAATGTGGAGTTAGACAATTTCATTTGCATACGCTAGCTACTAGCTATTCTTAAAAAGTGTTGGGCACGATTCTACATGATCCGTATTCCGTACTACTACGTAAAAAAGGCACCCGGTCATGTGGTTAAGTAGGCGGCTGGCTATTTGTGAAAAGATAAGCGTAACAAGTCTGTTTTTGAAAAGAAAGAAAAGAAGTGAAAAACGTGATACTCCATATTATTTTCTTTTTAAGTCTACTTGTGAAAATTTTCCTTTTATAATTTTAGGGAGTAAATCGTATAACTGTGATCTAATGTTTTCGATTTTATTAAGATAAAGAGTTCAATTCCTGAACTTGATCAATCTCTAATCAAAACATTTTTTTATTATCGATCAATAGCTGTAATTCTGTAAACTTGTAAACCGCTATATTGTTGTAAACCATTATTCATTTTCTAAAACAAAAGAAATACGTGTCACGTAGGAACGTGGAAAAGAACTATACACGCACCCCTACTCTTTCTTTTATTAATTTTGCTTCACTTCCTTTATTTTTCATAGCTTTGTATATTCTTCGAAACCCATTTAATTTGTACTTGAACATTATAAAAAATAAAAGTAGTTGAGCAATAAGAGAAAGGGATTTTTTTAATGCAACAGCCTTTCCATTCGTCTTAGAGACAACCCAATAATTAATCCAACCAAGCTTTCAACTATTCTTCATCCAATACTTCCCGTCACGACTCATGAATCATTTAATGGATGACAATAGTAGGTATGATATTGTAGCCTTTCTTCAGAGTTCAAACTTGAATGTGTTAATATGTGTTAGGTCATCAATTTGTGGGTGGGCAACCTATTGAATGCCCAGTCGGTGCTGCCTTAAATCCCAACCAACATTTTAGCTATTCATCTTCCATTTTAGTAAGTTAACAACAACACAGCCAATTAGCCATTGTCAAATTAATTAAAAAAAGTTGGGGGAAGGTTGGTGCGGCTGATTTAGTAATAGTAAGTTAGGGGACCGGGACTTAAAGAATTTGTATTAAGGGAGCCACAACTTAAAATTTAATTTATAACTTTTATTGCTTATAAATATTTAAATATATGCATATACATCACAAATATTTTCTTGTGGGGTCGAGTCCCCTGTCAGCCTCCCCGATCTCCACGCCTATTTGGAGACTTATAACCTTTAGTCCTGTACCAATAAAGTTGACTGTGATCAGATTTGGATGATAATTTATAGATTTCAGGATTATGGGAATACACGTCCCCACACCTCGATTATAAAAAAATTAAAAAACGTTGTCCTTTATCATCATAATAAATACTACCCGTCCCGCAAAATACTTTCCAACTTGACTTGGATCATAGTTTAAGAAAGTAAAAATAAAGTGCAAATGTATGATTGTATTTGTATAAGAAAAAATAAATGAACAGTAAAAATACAAACTTTCCAAAAAATGAAATGAGAAGAATTTTTTTGAACACCTCTTGGTAAGAGTTCTACATCTCATATACGGAGTATATATGTACCCCTGCCAGCTCATATTGCTATATATAGAGAGATCAGACAAGACTTTCTCTGCTTTGTTGGTTCTTCAAGAGGAGATAGGGAGAAAAGGTTATTGATCACTTTCAGAACAGAGAAAGAAAGAAAAATGTTGAGGTTGATTACAGGAATTCCAGGGCCAAGCGGGTTTGGGTCAGCCTCCACTGCTGAGCAGGTCACTCAAGGCATTGATGCCTCCAACCTCACTGCAATTATTACAGGTATTGTTCTTCCCCATCAACGTCTACTTCGGTGCCTATGTACTTTTAGCTTTCTTCATCTATAGAGACCAAATTGATGGATGCCTTGTCTTTGACTGTTATTAATGTATAGCATGAAGTAGTACTGTATAAATACCTGTTCTTCAATCTTTATATCTTGTGTAACTATTGGAATCCTATTTTCTTTTCATGAGTCGTTGTCATTTATTGAATTTTACATCTGAAGTATTAAACTAGCCTGATCAAGGAGTTTAGTCAAGTTAATTATCCATGGAATAACATTGTAGAAGTTCTTAAACTCTTTCAGTATAAATGACAGACTCATGGGGAAGGTTAAAGATCACCATACCTCCAGAATTTGTTGAGGCCCTCCTTAATTGAAAGATTCTACCGATTTTGTTAAATTTTAAGGAAATGTAGACAATTTTCTAGTTGTGGAAGAAAATTGTATAGTTATCTAGAAAACATATAGAATGATAGATTTCTCCATAAATGCTTTAGACTGATTCCAACAACGTGTGGATTAGTAGAAGGATGAAAGTTCTATAGAACATTATTGATAAGTTTGGTATCATCTAGGTTCTTCACGAACATTATCGGAGCACGTGGAGACTTCGTGGAAGATTATAGAGAATTGTGAAGTGTAGGATGTTCTAACGAAGGCTTAATATAAAAAAAACATAGTATAGATTAGTATGTGTTGGAGAGAGTCTTCCCATTCCTCAACTCCTTGAGGTGGCTTTTAAAGCAGTGAGAGTGAAGATACCTTAGAGAAATGACAAATGAGTAAATCCAAGAAAACTTCTTAAGTGTGGGAGCAGAGGGTATCTTCTTGTTATAGAATAAGGGTGAAGAACAATGTGATAGCCCAAAATTTCTCATGAACTCAAATGAGTGAGGTAGGGTGAGGTACTCACAGATACACAGTGAAGTGAGCTTCCCTTACAATTATTAAACCATCGCTTCTACAATGTATAATACGAAGTTGCTTTCTCATATCCTGTTTTTGTGTTAGTGAGTGTGTGAACAAAAATACAAGTTTTCATGCAGTCTCGTAGAACTGAGAGAAGTTGATTTTTCCAACATTATTGTTTACGGTCTCTTTTAAACCTTTGCTCCTCTCTTTCCAATAGTATCAGTATTGTACATATAAAGATCAGGGTAGGTAAAGGTGTAAGTTGGACAGTGACAGTATTGGACTGGACATTGAAAGCGTTAAAGGTGTTGAACATTGAAGATGATTAAGTGTGGTGAATGTTATGGATGGTGATGTTGGACATTGAAGATGGTGATGACTTTGAATCCATTTGTTTTAGGGTAGTGATTGAGGTCTGAGGAGGTTGGGGATGTCAAAGTAGCAGAATGGGTCACAGATGTTGGCAGTTGAGCAATGGTGATGGGTATAAATGGCGACGGCAATGGTCATCAATGGCGATGGACAATGAGTGGAGATAATGGACATTGATACCGGTGCAAATGAGCAGTGAATGGTTGTGATGAACATTGACTGCGATGATGATGGGCGTTGTGATTAAACAGACCAGACCAAACCAGACCAGACTTAAACAGAACAGACCAGACCAGACCAAACTTAAACAGACCAGACCAGACCAAACTTAAACAGACCAGACCAGCAAATTATAGTCCAAGTAAAAACATCCTAATAGGTCAATCAATGTTCAGACTTAAGAGTTCACCTCTTATGTTAGTCCATATGAGTATCAGTTATCATATTAAGTGAACCTGATTACGCCTTTTCCATAATGTGGTAAATTTCTCATTGTGCTTTTGGTGAATGCATATATTTTTTTCATCATGCGTAAACATGCTTACATAGGATTTATAGCCTCGTACATTTCTCCCCTGCCCTTGTATGCTTCCAAGTAAAATTTTGTTTTTGGGGTTTTTATATTTATATTTTTCCGATTTTTTTAAGTACATCCATATCACTGGACCATCAATATAGCATACTATTGCCTTGATCAATTTGAGAATATTATATGAGAATATTACCCGAAATAAGACTAAAAAGGTTTGAAAATTCCAAAATAGGACTGCCATGTTTTTATTCTCAAAGTAGGACTAGGTACTGTTATGTTTTGGCGGTACCAGACTTCAAACATGACAGTATTTTCCAAACTTGACAGTAATTACTCCTATTTTGGGAATAAAAAACATGGCAGTCCTATTTTGGAATTTTCAAACTGTTTTAGTCCTATTTCAGGAACTTTCCCATATTATATTCACCCGTAGCTCAGTTTTTGGCCTCAATCCATTAAACTACTACCCCCAATATTCGCGGCCCCAACAATTCCAGAAGTATGCTTGTTTATCCGTTTTTTGTTTTCGCATATTCTTACAAAACTTTTGGCAAAAACAGTTTGAATTACCATCCAAGTTGAGCATGGATGTATTTATTTATTGTTGAACCAAGTTGAGCATGAACTGCCTCATATGAAGGGGCAAGGCTTGGGAGCACCTTGTAAATTTATTGAGTGTATTATTTGGACTTTACATGTGTTTTTGTGTATAGGGCACAACTGACACTTGTATAGCCTATGAGTATGTTAGAAGAAGTTGATATTTTAAAATGTATATAAAAGATTTCGGAGATATAGAAATGGAACAGATGCAGATTTAGGCAAATGGCTAGCTTATAACACTGTTGTTGAGCTAATAAAGATTCTCACTCTGTAATTGGGTTGTTAGACACTCTCATCAAAATTGAATGACCACAGGTGGTGCAAGTGGGATTGGTTTAGAAGTGGCAAGAGTTTTAGCCCTTAGGAAAGCACATGTCGTTATCGCAGCAAGAAACATGGATGCTGCAAGAGAAGCAAAAGAGCTCATTCAGAAGGCTAGTAGCACCGCGTCTGTTGATATTCTTAAGCTTGATCTCAGTTCATTGAAATCTGTTAAGGCATTTGCTGACGATTTCAAAGCTCTTGGCCTTCCTCTCAACATCCTGATGTAGCCTACCTCTTTTGCCATCCACTTCACCGCATTACTAATATTATTAGCATCATCTAATGATGCTTAGCATCTTTTGACAGCGAAAAGTTGATTTTTCTTTGTTTTGTGTTGTTGTAGAAACAATGCAGGTGTCATGTTCTCTCCATTTCAGCTCTCAGAAGATGGATATGAGATGCAATTCGCTACAAACCATCTTGGTAATTAAACATATAGAGTATAATTTTTGCGTAAATATTGACTTCTATTAGAGTAGTCCCTCGTCAAAATAGGACAGATGACGGAGTTTATAAGATCATGGACTGAACTAGCTAATCAATCTCTTAGTAATATTTGATCATTTTCTTTCGAAGTGTTCTTATAAAATGGTACTGATGCTTTTATTTACAGGTCATTTCTACTTGACAAACCTTCTTCTAGAAAAGATGAAGGAAACTGCACAAGCTACAGGTGTGCAGGGTAGGATTGTGAACTTGTCATCTGTAGCTCACCTTTACACTTACAAAGAAGGCATATGGTTTGACAAGATCAATGATGAAAGCTGGTATATACCTATATAGTATATACTACCACTGTCCCTAAAATGTTTGTCAACTTATCTTTTTGTGTGTAAATTGTCAAAATTCGACCACTAATGTCTTTGTTATGCTAAATGATTTGTCATACGTTAAGTAATATAAAAAATTCATGGTTAAACATACTATTTTAAAATTATAAAATCTATAGTTATCACTAAGATATATTGATTAAAGACATGAGTCAAAACTAAAAAGCTCAGTATGTGACATTCCTGTCTGGCCTGCATGCTTGTCTTTCAGTATGTGAAAAAATATAACAAAAAATTCTTGCTTATTAGCTACAGTAAATGATGGATGAATCCTACTCAGTGCTGATCACTAGCTGTTCCTTTTTTTAAATTAGCTACCATGAAAAAATGGCATATGGGCAATCCAAGTTAGCAAGTATATTGCATGCCAATGAGCTCTCTCGTCGCTTACAAGTAAAGTCTGTTCTGTTTCTGGTTTCTCTAATATTTTCTTTTCGACTAACCTGTTGAAGTCAAGTCCTAGCTTTTGTTCGTATCACTTATTTAATTGCCATGATATCATTGTAATGTTTACTCTTCAAATGCTTTGAAATGCAGAAAGAGGGAGCTAATATTACTGTGAACTCCGTGCATCCAGGGTTGATAATGACTAATCTTATGAGACATTCTGTTCTTTTTACAAGTATGTATATGTCCGATATAATCCTGGATATTACTTAAACCATTGGAGCGTCGTTTTTGTTATAGGCACTTATATTTCCTCTTTTCCTTTCCTTTGTTGCTGCAGGAGTTATGAAGCTGTTTACTTGGATGCTCTGGAAGAATGTCCACCAGGTGAAATTACCAAACAAACCTTAAAAAGGAAAAAGGAAAAAAACAAGAATAGGATTCCTGAAAATTTTGGAGTGGCGCCAAAATGCTAGAGAAAAGGCGAAATAAGCCCTTGAACTATCAGTGATTCTGCATTTAGACCCCGTACCAGATGACCTTACAAACAAACCACTCAACTCATTGAAAAAAGTAGAGCCCTTTTTTACCTACCAGTGCTGGTAAGTGGTAACATCCAACCAACGGGTTACAAAGGATTCTATTGAGTGGATTGAGTGGTATATTTGTAATTTTGTAAAGTTATCCAGTTCAGGAGCCAGTTGCAGAACCACTAATTGTCCCAGGGTTTATTTTACCCTTTTCTCTAAACGATATTTTGGCCAAAACCATTTGACTTGACAACTTGAATTCTGTGTACACTCCCCAAGAGTCATTGTGTAATTTATTAAGTTAAATAAGCAGTGTTATGAAATGTAGACTCATCATTATCATTACCCCAGTGCCGCAAAGGCTCCCACCTACGGTGGGGCGGCGGCGGGGGGGGGGGGGGGGGGGGGTCGGATGAAATATAGACTGAATGGTTCAAATGATATAGAAGGAAACCAGACTTGTGACCATTCTTGTCATTGCGGCATATCGAATAACACTCCTCTGACCTCTCATGTTCCATGTCTCATGATCAACTCAGTGGATTACATAATCACACTTCCTTTTGCACATGAACTCCAGGCTGTGAAGATAGACTAATCTGTTAGATTTTCAATTAGTATATCGGTTGGGACAATTAAAAATAAAAAGGATACTAATTTGCTTCATTCAATAAACATCAATATAAACAATTAAGATATTGCATGTTTTCATCTGTAATTCTTTTTGTAGATATGATTGTTTGCTGCACTTATATGAATAGCAACATTAATAATTATAGCGTATAAATCGGGATAACAATACATATGCACATTTTGATGGATCAGGGGGCAGCTACGACGTGCTACGTTGCACTCCATCCAGCCCTGAAAGATGTTACTGGAAAGTACTTCCTGGACTGCAATGAATACGAGCCGAGCGAGTTTGCCAAAGATGAAGCTCTTGGAAGGAAGCTTTGGGATTTCAGTGACAAGCTGGTTAAGGCAGCTCAAAGCAAGTGAAATACTAGCTTGATCTTATTTTCTTTTTGTTTATTTTTTCATTTTTTCTTTCATAGGCTCTTTTATCCATAGTCATTAAAAATTTCCTGGAGAATGTAAAGATTTTGATCAACTTTTAGTTTTCTTGAAACTATTGAATAAATAAGTCTTCTAAGTTAAAAAACAACATTTTCAATACACCCACCGACCCACAGTTATATGAATAATTTGGCGTACTCTTTTGTTGAGATTTAAAAGTGACAATATTATATGTATCATCTTCACCAGCCATTAAAGTAATACTACAAATTCTAGATTTCATAAATACTAATCTTAGCTTTGTCGAAATAAAAATAAAAATACTAATCTTAGCACATTAAGGGCCCGTTTGGTAGCTTCTTTTTTCGGCTTATCATGCTTATCAACCAACTTTTCGTCAAACAAGTAATTAACTTTTGATTTCATGAATTTTGTAATAATAAGAAAAAGTAAGGTTGAAGTTACTTTTCTGATTATATTGACTGAAGTTATTGTAGAAGATCATTTTAGTTATTTTTTCATATAATTTTTTATTTTATTTATTCATAAATTTTTTATTTTTATAAATCAGCAGAATCAGCCAATACGACCACTTCAGCCATAACTTCATAAAGCTTAGCAGAATCAGCCAATTCAACAATTTTCAGTGTTACCAACGAAGCTCTAAATATGCATAGTCTATGATGAAACGCTTGGCAACATAGGAGGGGGAGGGGGGTGAATTGTGTGTGTGTGGAACCATGCTAGTTTTTCGCCAAGTTCTAGTGTGGAGTACATGGAAATGCAAAGTAGTTAAGTACACAAGAATTTAACGAGGAAAAATCTCTTGAGTCAAAGGGATTTCTCTTATTCATTTCGTGACACTTTACTTGTATAGTTGTATCCCCAAAGTTTCATCGAATGGGAAATATTCTTCACCTTCGAATATCTTGGGGTTAAATTTGAGGTTGATTGCTGGTTTTGCATCCTCGTGATGATTAGGAATGGGCACATCAAGTGTTTTTTTTGGAAATATACTTTTTTTTTATCATTTTTGGAAATCTAATCTAAAATCTTATAAAGCCCAATGAAGGTTAGGGGCTTTTTGGGTACAAAAAAAATGTTGGTGGTGTCTTAAAGCAACAAACAGTTGTACACTATTTTTTTGCATGTTGTACTCCATTCTTATTATCACATGTTCCGTATGACTCCATTAAATTTTTAGCAATAACGTCACACGGCCTTCTTTCATTTTGTTGTACGTCTGTCACTCTCCCAGCTTACCTTAACTTCATTTTGCACGCATTTATCATTCATTATTTAATTCCTAATATGCAAGTTCCGTTTGGAGATCTCATCACCATTACAGATCCAGATTCAGAAGCTACATGTTCCATCATTTGTTTTGGAAATCCCTAACCTTTATTAATTCATTGATTTCATTCAATTCAATTATTTGCCATGACCAACTTAAGTTTTCAAAATTTTGATGTTTCTTCTCTATCGTACTTTGACAACGCTTTGGTGATGGAGAAGCTGTATGGTTTAGGATTGCATTTGTGTTTCATCACAGATTTAACTTTTAATTTATAGTCATTTCTTCTTCTTTTGCTAATCTTTTTTTTTTTGCTATCTACAAATCATGTAATTAATTATGCTACATAAAAGAAACTAAGAAAATAATTTCAACTAATGCTTTAATATCCACTAAGCCACAACAATTTGTTTTCTTTTTAGAGGATCAATAATGCTATACTTGCATATATTTGATCTTGTGACCGTAATAAATCATTTCAGGACAAACTGGTATATCTTGGGAAGTCACTGAATCATACTCCCACTTTTCCATAAAATTTGGTCAAAGTTGACTTACACGTAAAATAATAAAGTAAAAATTGTGTGAATTGAAATATTTGTAAAAAGAGAGAAATAACTTTATGCACACATTAATTACTTTAATTGAAAACGACAAAGTTTTCTGGGACAACTAAAAATGGAAAGTTGACATATGATGAGGCAGAGGTAGTAGTTAATTCGATAGAGAAAATTAAAATTCTTTGGAGCATAAGGTCTTTGTAAATAGGCCTAAATGGGTTTATTATTATTATGATTATTATTATGATTATTATTATTATTATTATTATAGTAATGCTTTGTTTGAGTATTTAAAATAAGAAAATGGGATAAAATATCTTAAAGTTTCCTTTACCTTTACGATTTAACTAATGTAGTAATGAAAAAGTGAGTAAAGTTGTAATGACTAAATAAGTTGTAGGTTCAAATAAAAAGAAGGGTAAAGTAATAAGATTAACGAGGTGTAAGATTGTTTGCCAAAAAAAGAAAGCATTATATATATTATCTCTATTTTGGAATAGTTCAAAAACAAATAAGTATCTATTACTTTAATTTGAATTTGAGGGAGTATTGCTCTTCCTATAAAACTGTTGCAACTTGCTCATTAGTAGACAAAGTAGTTAATTATCAATACTGGTACTTCTTATATATTAATGAGACCTTTGCTTTTAACCATTCTGAACGTGGAAAAGTATTATGCATAAAGTTTTGAGTCATTTCAAATGAAACAATGAACAAATAACATTTCATTCTGTTAACTCTATCAAAAATGGCATTGGGCATTTTTCCATCGCGCATCACGCGTAGGAAAACTAGTATACTTTATACAACGGAATATTTGCATACCAAGATTGTACACATTAAAAATACCCATTCTATACAACTGAATATTTGCATATCAAGATTGTACACATTAAAAATACGGGTAATTCTATTGGCAGCCCCATATTTACTAAGTACAGCCACTTATTAAAAAATCGTTTTATAATTCCTAGTATGCCCTTGTACTTATCGTATACAGCCCATACAATTAATTGTGTCAAACCCCTCTCCACACCACTTCAACTGGTAGCGAGGGAGTGCCACAAGGGTTAGGTCTCGGGTTCGAATCCCGGCAACTGCGATGAGGGGTTACTATGCTGAAAAATGCATAGGACTTCTGCAAGTACCGGGAACAGAGCCCCACTCTCTATCTGCCAGATTGTGATTATAGTCCAATTTACATCCTCCCATCGTGCCGTCCGGTCGGTGTTGGGGGGCCCTCGGGGAGGAGTGTCATCCTTTTTTTAATATATCCGTCACTGTTATCAAATTGACGATGAAGACAACAAAAACCGATAGGATTTAAACGACAAGTCCATGCTGACAATTGTTCCGACCTCTGCACTTTTCGTTATTCGATTTACCGCCGAGATGTCTTGGGCGGAGATAATAACAATTGCGGTTGGGAATCGGGCGATCAGAAATTGGTTTCGCCGATGAAAGAGAATTTCTCTTTCACCTTTGTTTTGAGAAATTTCAACAGATGGAAGTGTTTGTGATGATTAATTTAGAAAGGAATGATCTGCTTTTCATTAACCAAATAAGGAGTATAAATATACACAATAATCTTAGGCACTTGGGCCCAAAAACTAAGCCCTACAAAAATACATATATGCTCGGCCGGGCCTAACTAAAGGCTAATATAAAATATGTACAAGTATTTCCTAACACCCCCCCTCAAGTTGGAGCATGCGGATCACAAATGCCCAACTTGCGAAGTAAAAAATGAAATTGCTTAGCGCCTAAAGCCTTCGTGAAAATATCAGCTAGTTGCTCGGTTGTAGAGACATGAGAGGTGCGGATGGTACCATCTTGAATGGCATCTCGAATGTAATGACAATCAACTTCTATGTGTTTGGTACGTTCATGAAACACTGGATTCTGAGCAATATGAAGAGCAGATTTGCTGTCACAAAACAAGTGCATGGGCCGAGGTTGATGAGTCCCAAGATCAAGGAGAAGGGCTTTGAGCCATTTTAATTCAGATGTAGCTGATGCCATGGACCGATATTCGGCCTCTGCGGAAGAACGGGACACAGTGTGTTGCTTCTTGGTTTTCCAAGAAATAGGAGAAGATCCAAAAAACACCAGCCAACCAGTAAGAGAGCGTCGAGTAATGGGACAGCTTGCCCAATCAGAATCACACCATGCAGAAAGAGACAAGTCGCTGTCAGAACGGAGAAGAATACCTTGCCCCGGGGAGCCCTTGAGGTACCGCACCACGCGTAACGCGGCTGCCCAATGATCCGGTTGTGGTGCATGCATGAATTGAGCTAGTGTGTGAACTGCATATGCTAAATCAGGTCGGGTAAAAGATAAATAAATAAGCCGACCAACCAACCGCCGGTACGGTGCAGGATCAGAGAGCGGTTCCTGCGAGACCGCGGCCAGGGAGTGATTCTGAGGAAGAGGAATATGTTCAGGCTTTGCTCCAAGAAGACCAGTATCGGAAATAATGTCAAGACAATATTTACGTTGACAAAGAAATAAGCCGTCCATCCCGCGAGCCACTTCCACGCCTAAGAAATATTTAAGTGTACCTAAATCCTTCATATGAAAACAGGTGCTCAAATATTCCTTAAAGGTCGTGAGAGCACTTGAGTCGTTCCCGGAGATAATTAGATCATCAACATAGACCAAGACGTTGAGCCGAGTAGCACCCCGATGAAAAATAAACAAGGAATAATCAGAATAAGATTGGCGAAACCCATACCGTTTTAAAGAAGTTGCAAGTTTAGCGAACCAACATCGGGGCGCTTGGCGTAAGCCATACAATGATTTATGGAGACGACAAACACGGTGTGGCGAATCAGCAGAAAAACCAGGTGGAAGTTTCATGTAAACCTCCTCATTGAGATCACCATGGAGAAACGCATTATGAACATCCATTTGGTGAAGTTCCCACTGCCTGGCGGCAGCCACTGCAAGAAAAGCCCGGACAGTCACCATTTTAGCTACAGGAGCAAAGGTCTCGTCATAATCCAAACCAGCAACTTGATGATTTCCCAAAATAACCAAACGAGCCTTGAGGCGTTCCACGCTCCCATCAGAATTATATTTGGTCTTGTAGACCCATTTGCAACCAAGAGCCTTCTTATTGGCAGGTAAATCGGTCATTGTCCACGTGCCATTCTCTTCCAATGCTCGAATCTCTTTGGCCATGGCCGCACGCCAACCTGCGTCCCGCATGGCCTCCAAGAAAGAACGGGGTTCATCCCCGGCATGCACTGCAGCTATAAAAGAACGATGGCGTGCAGAAAATTTATCAAAATGAACATAGTGAGCTAAAGGATATGGAGTACCTGAACCTGGAGACGTCGAGGCCGAGACGGGACTCACACTACTCGTAGCACATGATACATAATCACGCAATA